AATCGAGACTTCAAGGTCATCCATGCAGGAACCGTCAGCATTTGCCCGGAGGTAAACCCCAAGATCAAATTAAGGCTGAGGGTGCTGGGTGTTGTAGTTAGAGTTTATGCTTTTTGGATCCCAATTTTCGATGCGTTGAGTTCGGGGAGTGCAGAAGTGTCAGGCATCGGGGTCTCTAATTAGTTTGCATTGGTACAATGCGACTTCTTAATCGTGCCTCCGTCATAGAGCCCCCGTAACGACTACGATGAAAAACAAGCAACAAAAAGACACAAAATGACAACAATGAATAATCCTTTCGCCAGAATATTAGACGGCGTCCCCCCCCCCAAATGTATGCACTCCAACCCCTATTTAGTGTTAGGGGGTGGTATTCCTCGTACGACCCGAACATTAAGGGGGTATATATAATGGGGTCCTGTTGAAATCTGATAAAAAAGAATGGAATTCGATTAAATTCCTTAAGGTACTGTTTCATACTACGGCCTTTTTTTGAATTAGGGCCTTATTAAAAACTATTTCCCATTAGAGCCCTTTTTGGAGACTATTTCAAATTAGAGCCTTGAGATGTGTTCTGGGAATTGTTGTATATACATTCCTTCATGAAACCATTCAAAAACAATCAAATCTAGGAAGTCAAGGAGATCCCAGATCCTTAAAAGTGGTGCTAGGGACCCCTTCCTAGTTCAGAGGATCCAAGCCGCAATCAACTTTAGACTTGGCCCTTTTAAGAGTAGTCTCGGGAGCAGATTTCAGAATTTGGAATGCTGGCGAACCCGTATTCAATATTGCGGGTGGTTTGATATTAGGGGGGAGCTATTAACACACAACGGCAACAGTAGCAGCAACAGTCAGTGTGCCGAACTCCTGCACAAAAACCTGGTGTCTTGAAATCTAAACCTTGCTCAGTAACCTTGAACCCTGAAGGCGAAGAACCGCACGTGCTTTAAGGACCTCGGGTATACAGAAGGCCTCGAGATGGCGCTGTGCAGCCTCAAGTTGCGGAGAGTCCTTGCGCGCGCTTTTCTGCATATTGTGGGTGCTAGCCCCGGGATTCATTGTGGTGATTCTGCAAGGCCCAGAAGTTTTTCCACAGCAAGGCTCCTATTTGACGAGGACAGAAAAACAGGAGCCTGGTAATTATCTAGCAAAAGGTTGACCCTCTTTCATCCCTTTTTGTTTCTCTGAACCGTGTAAATCGTCTACCTGTTGTACGGGACTCAGGCAGCCGTCCTGGTCCAGACGTCGTTCCACGCTTGCCAGCTGCTGGGCAAAAAGCTCCAGCCGAGCCTCCCGAGGAAAGCAGGTGTGAAAGCAAACACCATGAGCTTTGCATCCAACAAACGTTCATTGTCTTTGGGTGGCTGAGCTCAACCCACGAATGCTTCCTGCGCCTTCTACGTTAAGCACATTGGCAGGGAATTGCAAAGCACCGGCAAAAAGACTGTCAACCCTGGATTCAGTCAAATTCAGTCTTTTGGCTCGCGTCTTCGCCATCAAACTAAAGCCTGCCTGGGTCTAAGCGTCTTGCCATGACTCCCCCATTGGCGTCTTGCTGTGAAACTGCGCCAACATGGCAAAGGCTTTGGCGGGCTAATCAATGCCGAGCTCCTCCAACTGCTGCCTGGTAGTTGTGAAATCTGGGTCTGCTCAAGTATCATCCCCACCTCATGTCTGCCAAGGCACATTCGAGCCAAAGTCTTCTGCAGCTCCAGGTCATGACTGAGCCAATGCTCCTTACACCACTCTCACAGCTCAGCAACCCGCATTGGAAAGGACGCTACCGGGCGTGACAGACCAGCAAGGCGTGTAGGTCCTCGAAACACCGCATGCGCACCCAGAGCTCACCCAAGTCGATCTCCAGACACAGATTTTCACTGCTTGCCCAACCGGGCTGTCTCACAACCTCGGCTCGTGCTCTAAAGAATATGGCTGGACCAAGATGTTCCGTAGAACTTCCTAGGCTATCATGCAGTGGATGATGCATTGCTGTGTACTCTACGCCTCCGAGCAACTGGACGGATCTTTTTACAGATCATACACTAGGCAGCCAGAAATGAACAGCAAACTTCTGTGCAAAACGGCGACAGCATTACTCCAGCTTCCCACCTGGCTTGCTTAGCCCGTTCCCAGCCATTACTAGAGTGGTCAGACAGTGAAGATACACGTCACAGCCTTTACCCCCGTGTTGGATAAGACACTGGGAGGTGACTAGGGAGGCTCACGTACACCGGGAGGCACAGCCCAGCCTCCAGCCATCCCCAGCTGAGCCAAATATCTACAAGGTAGGCAGGGGGTGCTTAGGGGGGGCCTTGCAGGGGGCCAAGGCAAACTGCTTCAGGCCCCTCCGATAGCGGCTGGGTGGCAGACACTTAGATACGCATGATACGCATCAGCCTTTTGACCCGTACTGGGTTTCACGATGGGAGGAGCCTCTCGACTCTCGAGCCAACCCCAGTAAAAAAAGATCCACAAACTAGTTACTTGGTGGGAATACGTTAGACACAAGAGCAAAGGCACTAGAATGATGCCCCCCACATTTTCGACCTCGAAAAAGGGGCTTCAGGGGTGTTTCAGGGAGGGGTCATGGAGGACTTGGAAGGTATGGGAAGCTTGCACGGCCGCTGAGGCCGCTGAGAGGCTGCATGCGATGAGCCGCTCATAATGTTTGCTAGGCACTCGGCAGTGGAAACCCTTAAATGCCAGACCCTAAACCCTAACTGCATAATTCGAAAAGCCGAGGCTTCCGCGCGACGTCGCTTTGCCGGGGGCAGTGGCAGTGCTGATCGCCCAATCCAAGGAGATTCCACGCCTCGCAACAAAAAGTGCTTTGGGCTGAAGATGCCTGGGGTAAGGGCTCAAACACGAGAAACCAAAAAAACTCGGAGGCTCCCGCCTCCCACGCACCGCTGGGGCTCAACCTCCATCGCCATCTGCACCTGGCACACGACACAGTTCGAAAACCTATGAAATAGACTTCTGCAATCGCATGCTACCCGATTGACTGTGCTCATTGCCCCTCAGCTCTGCAGTCAAAAGCGTTCTCAGCTTGCATAGCTTGAATGTAGATGCTTTGAACAGGCAGGAAATTCGGGAAAACAGTAAACTTGAGGTCACTAGGACCCAGAGTGAAATCGCTGCCACTTTGCACAGCAGCCACCTGAGGCTCCTCCAGATGCATTGCCATCTGCTGGCACAGGCGTGTCCTATATGTGTTTGTTGACTTTGTGTCATAAGTAGGATACAGATGTGCCAGGGCTTGAGGACCTCAACTGTGAGGACATCGACCATGGGTCCATAACTTTCATAATGCTAGGCCCCCGCTTGAATATGCAGCTCTTGCTGGCACAACATGCTGCTGTTCAAGGTTGTCAGAACCATTGCCCAACTTGCTGTTCTGAGTGTGTTCGTCACATCTGTGCTACCATCGACTTCTGGACTTTCTGATCATGATTCCATGGCTGATACTGATGATGGCTGAATGCACGTAACCCAGGAAGGCCACCCGCATGGCGATATAACATTGATAACCTGCTTACATATTATGACTGCAAGTCAAAGGCAATGTTTACCCCATATGCACTCATTCTAGACAGAGTCCTGGCCCCACGCCTCCAAGGAGTGGCGCCAGCCAGAAAGGAACTGTTGCAGGGCCTGGCCTTGGGACATCATACCAGAGCACTGGGACTGGGAACATTTGAAATCTTGAGGCTCCTGCTCTCCTCGGTCTGAGCCATTAAGGCGCGCCTTTCCGCATCTTGGCTTCGCAGCAGAGCAGCCCTGAGCAGAGCGAGAGTAAGCAAGGGTCACCAGCGACGCTGCGAGGAAAGGTGTAGCCCACCTCTCTGCCTCCTCGGCAGCTCTTCTGGTCGCCGCAGCCTTGCACGGAGAGGTGGCAAAGCATGGCAGAGCTTGAATTACAGCCTGCCAAGAGGGCCTCATCTGCTCTCCCACGCGAGAGGCGCCCGGCGAAAACCTCTGCAAACCACGTGCTACTCATCTACTCATACCATGCAACGTCCGCAGAGGCCATTGCCATGGGCCTTTGGACTGCGCACTGGACAGAAGAGATGTGCCCCCACTCCTCCCTGTTTGCACACGACTCCCAGCCAGGCTTCCAGGAAACTTTAGCGGGGCTTCCCGCAATCGAAGTTCAGTGGTGTCCCCCTCACAATCCCAGTCAGTGAGGTCTTGTGAGGCCCTAGTGGCTTGCAAGCTCCGCGGTCAGTGCTACTCCAAATCTCTTATCGCTTCCAAATGCTTGTGCTGAGATCAGCGTCACTTTCTCACTTTCAGTGCATCTGCTCTGCTTTGCTGTGCACCGTGCTGCCCGTCCCTAGGATGTAAGCAGCTACAAGCTGACTCAAGATCTCGAAAGGCAGAAGCGGCGCTAGCACATGCCAGCAATAACCTTAAACAGTCCACAACGTATCACGCCTCTAGCTCGCGCTGCCATTCCCAGCTACTGCTGCCTCGCAGTGACAAGCAAGCTGAGCCTATGTTGAAGCTCACATGCAAGAGACAGCACGTGTCCCCAGAATAATCAGAATGCTCACGAGTCACGAGAGGAACCTACGAATTGCTCAATGAGGCTCGACGAGACTTTGCTATACAAAAAAGCTACGTTCCCCTTTATCACGTGGATCTCATTCCAAGCAGCCTGCAATCCGTCACACTACAGCCCTACCGCCCAAAGCAAAACATGCTTGCTCACCTTCTTACTCGTTTCCTGTACCACAACGCTTCCACTAACTTTCAAAGTCATTCTTCAACCCCCGAGCCCCGTCTGACTCAGGTTTTTTCGCTGCAAGCCATAAGCATGCTGCATTCAAATTGCAAGACCATCTAAATGGGCAATCGGCGGCACATTCTTGCCTTTCCTTTACGAAGGTTGCTGCCGCAAACGTACCGAACCAACAGCCTTCAAAAGCCCCTGCATTGAAGGGACGGCTGCGTCAGTCTTGAGCGGTTCAGAGCTTCTAGCATCCTTGCCAATCAGGTTACTCCATGGAGGGGTTAACGAACTGCCCGGTAGCATGCTTGACGCCCTTCAACTCCTGGAGGACTTTGAGAACCTGCGCTGGAGATGCTGGAGACAGTTCGGTGCAGCTGCCCAGCTACAGAAAGATGTGCAAAGACTCCACGCGAATAGGATCAACAGAGTCCTGATAACTTGTAGGCATTTGACAGCAATCCTTCCCTAGATTGCTGGCGGAGATGATGTGGGCGTGACTCTACTAGTCCATTGCTGTCTGGGAAGCTTTGGCAGCAGTTTCCTCGACACCACCATTCGTGGTGTCCAGCACTTTCCAGTGTGGACCTTGCCTTGGCTCTCGTCTCTTCCCATCCCATGGGCATAAGCCCAATGTGGTGCTCCCCAATCCATGCAAACCCCAAATCGATGACTTCGGTTCTTTGCAAAATGAATAACGACTCCAATTCAATGTGCCACCTTTTTTCCATCCCTGCATGCAAGGAGCCGCATGTAGAAGGTCTTCAACCAATTTACCTGGGATGCAAACTCTTCATAATCACGCCGTTGCCATCATCAGGGCAATATCATCAGAATTCGCATCGGCATCCGCCCGGTAGGCGTCTGCAAGAACGGTGACCGAGCTCCGAACAAACTATAAACTTCTCCCAGCCCAACCCCCCGCCAACCCTTCCACCAATCCGCCGGCCGGAGGCCTTGGGCTCCCAGCGCGCGCGATCCGGAAAAAGGTTTAATTCTAGGGGGGGCAGGGCGGCTGGTCGGCTGGAAATGCAAGTTCCCCAGAAGTCGGGCCAAAAAAAAACAAAGATTCGGGGTTGAAACTTGTGGTGGGGTGAAGGGGGGGTTGGGAGGGTTCAGGAGAAGGGTGGGGGTCAGGGGAAGCGGGTGGCGGGTCAGGGTGGGTAAAGGGAGGGGGTGAGAGCGGTGGGAGGGCTGGTTTGAGCATGCAGCTCACATATGCGTCGCAGTTCATGAGCGGCATTTTTCATTTTAACATCGCATGGAGTGTCACACGCAATGTTGCCATCTGTCGCCTGAACCACACTTGCCGAGGCGGTCTCACATTAGCGATTAGATTACACATCCCCGCACTACACCCAGATGCCACACGTCCAATGAAGCAGCTTTTCTGCCCCATGGTTGTTTGTGCGGTCTACATCTTGCCTCTCTTCAGCAGCCCTCAGACGGCCCTCCCGCCATGTGGGGCTGCAGGCAGACAAGATTAGAGTTGCGAAGACTCCATGCGTCAAGAGCCTCAAAAAGATCTGCCTACAACATCCTGGGACAACGCGGTCTCAGGTTAGAAACTGATGGTGACAAAGGGGTTCTTGGTTTTCCTGGAATGATGCCTTGGCTGTGGAACGGACCGTCAGGTTGCGGTGTTAGGTGCGGGTAGAGACCTGTCGCAAGCCCCCTCTGCCACTCCCTGCCCCAGCGCCTCTGCACTAGATAATCCCAGTTTCCATGTCATCTTCCATGTCTTTTCCGTTGTTCCGTCCTGGTCATGAGCCTCCCTACGAGCCCGGGCGCCCACGCGGACGTGCGCTACGTGGCATTTACAATAAATACTCTAGTTGCTTTTGTGACTGCTGCCCTTGCTTTGGCGTTGTGCTGGTACTGCTGGCTCCATTTCTGAAGTCGGGCGACCTCCTTCTTGCAGTTCTCAATGGAGGCATACCTGACAAGCTTCAGGCAAGATGGAGAAAAGTTTAGTTCAAAAGGACTCGCACAACTCAAACCTAGTTGGCTCGAGATCACAGGCTCTGCCCAATTCATGTTCCTACGGCGTGCGCGCATCACGTTCACAATATTTGCCGTGTGCCTTGTGCGGACTCCTATGCTACCTGACTCCTTGGGGGATGTGAAGCTGATGCCTGGCTCTAAGCTGCTCGTAAACGCTGCAGGAGGAAGCCCTCAAAACCAGCAGACTATGATAGCTGAGCAGCATTGACTCGTCTCGTCCATAGTCCTTCCTGATTTGGCAGCAAATTTTGCACTGAGGTTGTTGCGATATCTTTTCAGGGGCCGTCCTACTCTCTTTACAGCATTTCCAGTCAAATGGCATTCTCGCAGAGCGCACGGCATGCAAGCGTTCAGCTTGGATTGTCAACGCGATGCATTTGTGCCTAAGTTGCAAACATGCTCAGCCTCAGGTTGTACACACAAGGGATCCACACAGATTTCGTTCTAAAGTGTCATGTTGCTGAATGGTAGGCTCAAACAAGTGCTCAGGAGGATCTTCACCAGGAATGACCGGGTAGTTGGCCACTTTGAAACCTCGCTGGGCCAAAAAAAACCTCGGATCCAACCGGACACCAGCGCTTGAAGAAGCAAGTGGAGAGCTCAGGGGACATGCGCTCAGGCCCTGTCGCTAGGGGTGTTTTGCCTGCCCGCGACAGACCGATGAGGACGATGTCCTGAACAGGCGTGCATGTTCAGGATACTGCTGCCGCTGCAAAACTCCCTTGCAGGGCCCTCTTCCAGTTTCTGAGCGAGGGTCTGCTTCTTTCCACATCTCCGGGTGCATGCCATCATCGAGCTTGCGTGTGAACTCAATGGCCTGAAGGATGACTGCTTGGTGGCAATGGCAAGCACGGCCAGCGGGCCTCCACCATGTTGATGCACTCGTCCGAGAGCCGCGAGCGCAGAGCCGAACGCACCTCCATCTTCAGCAGCGGGTTGGGATGGTTGGGATATGTTGGGATAGCAGCCAAGCATGCCAAGCAGCCTCGGACTTCCTCGGGATGCCTAGCAGCTCCTCCATGGAGGCCTGCAAATCCAGAACAGGAGTTCATGCTGCATGCGGGTCCACGGGAATATTTGCTACAGCGCACCAACAATGGCTCGTAGAGGTCCACAGCACGCAGCCTCACTTGGCAGAACAGTGCTCCCTACCAGCTGTCGCCACCTTGCTAAGGTGCCTGGAGGCTAAGAGCAGTTTGGCTGCGAAGAAGACTACGCTTATGTGACTAGCCAATCTCAAGCCCCTGATTCCAGTAGTGGGCTATACCACGGATCAACTAATGACCACGAGATCGTTCCTTTAAACCTGTTGACATCTTCTCCAAGGCGCTCGTTCTCGCCGGGCTTTGTTGGGCGCTGCAGCTCTTCGATGATGGCTTCGCGAGGCTCCTCGCGCATCAACGTGTAGACCACCAAGGCATTCTCCTCCCTGGCTCGACGCGTTATCTCCAGTATCTCCCCTCGGTAGCGGATGTACGGGAAGGTGGTTGTACCAACTCGCTGGCAGTTGCTGCGATACCTATATTCAAACTGTTTCAGGGCCAGTGTCACGGCCCCACCTGCAGAATAGCCAGAGCCATCAGACACAGCAAAAATGGCAGCCGGCTCTTCGTCCATCTTTTCAGGATCAACCTCACAGCCCGGATCATCCTCCATCTCTGCTAAACGGTCAATGATGTCAAAGAAGTCCTTTCGACAAAGCTGCCAGACAGCTGCAGGTTGGTTGCCACGAACACAAACAGACTCCATGCAGGTGCGATCATAAAACAAACCCAACTCACCAATGTAGGAGCCGGTTCCAAGCGTTGTGGCTTCAATCTCCTCCTCATCGTCTTGATGCAGGCGCTTGAATACACTGAGCTCGCCCGACTCCACCACATAAACAGCATCCACGGGCTCACCTCGCTTAAAGATGTGAGTTCCCGGCTGCAGCTCCAACCTCGTCATGGCATCCAAAATCTGCTGCAGGGAGTCCTCAGGCAGAGCCTGAAGCACTGGTACCGTACGATTCTCTCGCAGGCACTGGCGGATCGCCTCACGAGCCTCCCGATTGGCTTCATCGTCACCGTCAAAGGCCTCTGCCTGCCTGGGGGAGACCCAGCGGCTCCGTCTCCTGCTATCCCGGCTATCCCTCCGCCAGCTCCTGCAGAGGCAGAGGGCACCAAAGGCCAAGGCCGACGTCTCAAAAGTCTCGCATCTTACCCTCGCTCCGCATGCTTGTGAGCGGCGTGCTGGCACGCTTGCTTCAACTTGCTGACCAAAAGAGCTCGCCACGAACACAGGGCCCGGATCCATCATGATCCTAACGGCATGTGTCTGGCCTTACTGTGTGCTTGTATTTCCTCACTGAAAATGACCCAACTTTCCGGTCGGGTTGGCTCCTGCATGATCAGGGGAATAGACCATGTCATGCAAGCTCCACTCAATCAAACCCTCTAGCAAATACGCTGGCCAAGACAAGCATGAGCTCACCTGAAAATCATGATAAGCTGTGTACTTCTAACCGCATGGTAAACTCAGAACGTAGACAGGACCGTTGAAGGAGGTGCTTGGGTATACGCGTTTTGATATGTTCATGCATACACAAGGACCCTGCGGTCCCACGGAGCTTTGATCAACAACAACAAGGACAACAGAATCCTACATTGAAATGCAGCAGAGTACTGCCTGTAAACCAATGGCATTGCAATGCATCGCAACAGGTATGACTCTGGCAGTGAACTTATCCGATTCTTCCCTTCCCAGCTGGGGCCGAAACCCAAGCTGCCGGTTCCAGTCGCGCTCTGCGACACCTGCAACCGATCATCTAGCAAGCATCCCACCCACTGCAGCTGCTTGCACGCCTCCATGATTTGCAACAAGGGCAAGGCAACAAGTGCTCAGTACGTAGATAGTTGCAATGGGACTTGAGAAATGGTAAGGTGAGTGCGAGTCAGGCCCTGCTGCATGTCAAGAGCTATGACTAGACCAGACCTCTTCACTGTAGGGCAGTGCTTTGGCCCCAAAAGCTCCGAATGCAAACGTGCACGGTCTCAGGCAGGCTTATGCGATTTGCTTTAAGCAACTGCTACAGCTCTGACGACTAGGATTTCAAGCTCACACGCTGGACCAAACACTCAATTCAAGCAACAAGGCTTGAAGCAATACCCAAACAACCATGCCTGAAGCAACCCCTGCGCTGCAAGACGAAAACACAATGAGAGCCAGCCTCACTTAGGCACTGCTATGCAGGTTCTTGCGACAGGTTTCCCCTCGAACTATGTTCTGCTCCGGATTTTCCTGCTAAGCGCGCATGGCATGAAAGCCGCCAAGGGTATTGGACCCTGAGCAGATGGGTGAGATTGCAGAGCCTAGACCTAGAAACTACGTGTATGTTACATAAAACGAGCAGCTGGCAGCTGGCTTTCGCTGTGCATCTACTGGCAGGTACCCACTAACCAAGGACACGATGCCCACTGGTCGACAGCGAGAACTTAGCTGCTGCTGCAGGAACTACTTCATTTCCTGCCAAGCTTCAACCTCCTGTCACGCACACTGCAGACGTCAGACAGTAGAGCCCTTGAGGAACTTGACGATCCTGCAACACACGCCCCACAGCAAACTCCAACTGCTGCGATTGCTTGAGCATGACGGGACACGAATCAACAAACGAACAGTCTGCCTTATGTTTGCTCGCAGACTGGAGAGTGTAGCTTGTGGGAGGCCTTTTCTTCATCTCCTGGTCTGGTTGACACTCCTCCATCCGGAGTGGCTTCTGCGTTATCGGACACACCTCGGCTGAGCTTCGGGGTCAACAAGTCCCAAAACAGAGCAGGCTCTGAGCTTGTGACTGATCCGCAGTTTCCAAACCATTTTTCCAACGTCTTTTTCTCGAAATGATGCCCGTAGCGTGACAGGACCTCTTGCACCAAGAGGACAGCTTTAAACTGTAGAACCACAAGATGGAGCCGCACCGGATTCACCATGACTTTTCCGTCAATGGCGCATCGCATGTCCTACGATGAAGGCCATTCAAACAAAAAACAAACACGCCACCTGAAAAGATGCGCACCTCAGGGCAATCAACCACTGATCGGGATTCTATTCGAATCTTTTGCTTCTCCTCCAAGATGATGAGTGGTGAAATTGGTCTCTAAGACTCTAGGCCGAAGCACGAGTTGTGCTGGCCTTTCTTTTGTTTTGAGACTCGTCGTTCTTGGAAAGTGAGGGCAAGTCCTCAATGCTTGGCCAGAAATCTACACAAGGCTGGCAAGAGGATTGAGCTTCCCACTCCCAATAAGGAAGGCCCTGTCTCCACCTTGGCCATGGCAGCTGCAGAGTGTTGTCTGGCCTACTCTTCTTTCCACCTTGCCTCCACCATATCTTGCTGGTTCTTAAGGAATAAGGAGTTATAATCCTAATATTAATCCCTATACAATTTGGCCCCCTAATCCCTACTTACAACCAGTAAGACGCTTCTGCAAGCTCAGGATTCTGCTGGCTTCGTGGGAGGCGGCGCTGGGACATCTGGGTCCGCAGCAGCCCGCACCTGCCGAGACATGGAAGGTTCCACCCATTAACAGTCTGTAACAGGGGCTCGGGGTACTATGCAGGGGCTATGTGGGGATAATGGAAAAGAAAATGGAAACTACTATAGTATATTGGGATTATATATGGATAATGGAAAGAAAATGGAAACTACTATGGTGTAGTGGGGCTATATAGGGATAGAGGAAAAGAAAATGCAAGCTACTATTTGCGTCTTAGAGTTTACGCAGCATTCTGTTTCCCTCTGACAAGGTTGCATACCCTCAGGAGGTCACTAAGAGCAAATATAGATGTTATACAGAGTTATGACAGCTCGCGCCCCAAGATCAATATCTGGAAGGTTTGAGGTCTCATATCTATGACTTTTGTCGTCTGTGGAAGAAGGTGACGGAGAACCCCACCCTACAGTTAGTTCATCCACAGAGTTTCCAACCCTGGGCTTTCCCTTTGCAGAAACCTCATGCTAAAGAATGCTTGAAATTGCCAGTGGAACTCTCAGATCCTGGGCTCCTGGCTTTCTTCATGTAACTCCCTTACCAAATGTGTTTCAACATGAAACGGATATTCTCAGATCGTTGGTTCCTACTTTAATTTTCTCAAGACCAAAGTTGGCGAACCGAGTTTCAGATTTGAATGGTTTCCAGGCCTCCAGAATTTTACTTTGTTGGTACCTCCTCATGTTTGGCAAGGTTTCCAAAGAAATGTTGCCAAAAACTGTGTTCAAAAAAATGAAATCATGCCACAACCCAGGTGTACAAAAAAAATGGCGCGCGTGGCTCTCATCAATTACCTCCACCTTTTAAGTGTTGCATCATTGTATCTACATTTGCCATGCCTCTGGCACAGAGCCGTCAATGGCTTCGGGAGCCACTTGCGAGACGGACAGCATCTGCAGCTGGTACCCCTGCAGCTACACAATGCTGAATATACGGCCCGCAGAATGCAAAGCCGCTCTCCTGAATGATGTTTGCAATGTCTTCCCTCTCCACTACCTCATCCATGGCCTTGGTCCGAGTAAGATGCAAGCTGCAAATGTAAAGACGGTAAGATCAGAACCAGCGGAGCACCAGTGAGAGGATTCGATCCATGCTGGCTGGTCCAGTCCTGCAAAATGTCAGATGATCCCAATACAACTTGAAATTGTGGCGGGGAACATCCTCAAGGGCCGCCCTCTCAAAGAGATACCCATCTGGTGTACTGACAGGGTCGTGCATCAGGGCACCTCACATCGGCATCGAAACCGAACCAGTTTCCCGCTCCAAGCTGTTCCAAGCTGCAGGCCACTCAGCTGGCAGACTGCCTTCTGCGGTACACCAGCCTGTCCACTGAAAGACCTAATATTAGATTATACTGTGCTATACTAAAATATGTTATAATATATTGTACTGCAAGGCAATCTGAGCATCGAAAGGAGAGATGCAGAGGACAACGAAAGGGAGTCAATGGGCCTCATCGGCTGTGCCAAGGTGCGCTTCCCATTCATCGCCAGGAATCTCAGAGCGCAGTGACTGCCCAATCATGTGAAGGCAACCAAGCACACTTTAAAAATTGAGGAGGGTGCAAGCGGAGGCATGTCATCATCAGACTCCTGTCCAGTGGAGTAAGACTAGGACGACTCGCGCAAGAACGTCTGCCCGAACAAAGGAACCCCTACCTCGCCCTGTTCATCGTCGGCTTCAGGCTCTTCGCCATTTTTGTTCGAGGCCTTCTACATCGCCAGGCAAGGAAGAGGCCACGGAAACAAGCAAGATTCCAAGCCTGCATGGAGAAGAGCTTCTTTCTCCTTCTGGCCTGTCATGGCAACGGCTTGAAAAAGTAGAGGACCACTGGAAGACTCATTGCTCTCCTTGTTCTTGGCGTTCCGCCACTTCTTTTGTTTGGTCGAGTGGTTGGCGGCTGCTGCTTCAGGCGAAGCCTGGTGCACAATCTCTACATGCTACAACACAGTGAAAAGCCTTGGGACTGCAGGCCAATCAAGATGCTTCGCTAGTATGGTTGTGGTCAATGCCTCTGGCGCACCAAATGCGAAAGAGAGCAGCTCAACTGCCTGCCAGTGCATGACTCTGGCTGCCGCTGTGACTGCCTTCACCTTACGGCTTCGCCTTCACGGAAGATCTCGAGAAGGGCAGGCGCATGCTCTGCTCGGCTGTCATCCGCCGCTGAAGGCGGGCCTACGGCTGTCGCTCTGAGACTACCTTATTTCGCCTCGGCCTCTGGCCAACAGGCGTCGAACAAGCTAACCAGGATTCAGCCTTCTCCCCCTCCCTTGGGTATCTCACAAAATCGGGGGGCTCTGGCCGGGCCAGTTTTTCGCCTTTCCTTCTCACAGCCTCCCCCCTCCGCATCCCCCCGCTTCAAGCCTTGCCAGACTCTTCTTCCTTTCTAAGGCCCATTTGGTTTGCGACATCTTGGCTTCCTTGACAGCCCGGCTGCCGAAGCGGATGCGCGCTAGCGCTTACAATTACAGGCTTTCAAAGCAGCACCTGGCTCTCTTCGGGGAGTTGCTCGAAGGCCGCCTCACGCTCACGAGTCAAAAAAAGCAGGCCTGCTGTTGACAGTGACTTCAGCGCTGCACCTGGAAAGTCTGCGTGAGCTTCTCGCAATACCTTGCAAAGGCTTCGTTCAACATGACATAGGTGACACAATCTTCAGAGGCCGAAACGGACCCTTGGGGAAGTCCACATTGATGGCCATTTTAACCTGCAGGACCACATTGCACGACTTGAAGAACGTTGCCGATTCTTGACAAAGAATGGTCCCACAATGGGCAAGTTCATCCACAGAGAACAGAGCTGCAGCGCATCTTCGGGCTGAGGCCCGGGCCAGCAGCTCCAGCATGGAAATATGAGTAAGGATGCGAGGCACCTTGCATCTTCTCTTAAGGAAACACTGTGTGATATGCATCCTGATGAACTGCCTCGCAGATTTTGGGGATCATGTCTGAGTCCCGCAAATGTGGTCGGAAGACCTTGGTACAAGTTGTACACTTCCCCGAGCACAAAACTCTGCATTGGGCGAAAAGGCCATCTGTGGATGGCACATTGATGTTGAAGGTGACAACGACAAACGTCTGCAATGTAGCCTACGATCCGAGATTAGCAGAAGGCATAAGGCCTACATTCCACAAACGGGCGTACTTATGTAAGCTCAGGCATATGGACCACTTTTTTGTATGTAAGCCGATTCCCTGAGCTGGGTAATCTACGCAAGATCAATTGACTAGAAAGCTTGTTTTTGAGGCCTTGAGGTTCTGCCACTCGATCAGCGCCGGGCCACACTGCGCGGGCGGTCAAGTAGCAGAGAACACATACCGACCCCTCGCAACAATGAAACGACTGAGCGGGGGGCAGCAGGATTGTCGAACAAGGCCGGAAGAATGTTGTAAACGTACGGAATCATGATGTCCTTCAGGCAGCGGGCACTCACGCAAGCTTCTCCGTATCTCTGCCAACATTGCCATGGCCTGGACAATGGTACTCTGCGTTGCAAGATGCTGCCTGCAGCCACTATCGAGTCGCGCAAAGTAGCTCCCAATGCATGTTTGCATGAGAATTTGATCACGGTTTCAGAAACTTGGATGCCAGAGCATGGAATTCACATTCAGCCATCGCACTTTTGGCTGAGGAGAGAGCCTGAGCTTCTTCTGATTCGCAGAGCAGTACAGGAGGCAGTTGTGGATCTCAGCAAGCCACACAAGCATAGCTGATGCTACCATCGGGTACCTGCACCCTACATGGGATTGGACACCGATATTCGGAATATTCAATATTCACAATAGAACTGAGATTCCTATGACGATTTCAGGATTTCCAAGGACAAGACTACACCAAAAAAACGAACGCAATGACTTTTCCTGTTTAAAATTGCGTCCAATGAAGGCCAGGCGGGCATCCACTGAAATGGCTGTGTACAATAGTGGCCGGAGCCAATGACGTATTGACAAAGGATGCAGGAGCCAAGCAGGTGGACTCATCAAAGCTTCTCAGCTTAGCGGCTTGATGCCATCTCTGGTAATCTGGGAATCCAGTCTGCTGCCTCTGCTGCTAACTAACAAAATTCCCTTCCAGCGCCCGGACGGTCGAGGGAAGAAACGGAATCAACTCCAGTTTTCGGCGAGTTCGGCGCCTGTTGCATTTGACCGCAGACTGTCCCGGGCAGACTGGAAAGGCAAGTTCCATGCATCAATGGCCCTTGCCAAGGAACTCGCCACACTGTTTGGCGAGGCTCCTTTGTGGCACCAGCATCCATTCTCGGACACGCGGCGCTAGGCCCTACTATATACAGGATGCTGGGAGCCAGAGGCTCCCAGACGAAGTGAAACAGGGAGCAATCCAAGTCATCATGCGACTAAGTCGTGCCAACATACCGAATGCATTTCATGATGTTGTCCAACTTGCATTGCTCAGCTGTGGTGCGCTAGGCAGTTGGCCACAGCCCCTGCTTCAACATTTAACAACTTGTGGCGATCAATCAGAAGCTGAAAGTCGCATATAAAGGGACTGTACGATGCCCTGTGTAGGCAAAAACATATCATCTGTCACGCGTTTGATGCACAGATCCTGAATGACATTCATCTTGGTCAAGACCTTCAAGTTGTTCTTGAATGGAAACTGTTGGCTTTCTGACATCTCCACGAGCTTTCCTCCATCCAGCGCTTAAATGCATGGAGGGAGGATTGTGATCATGGCTAAAGACTAAGTGGGTCGGCTACTTAACACACCGCAGCAAATCTACAGAAAAATCACAGCATCAAATGGATCAAACTCCTTCTTGAGGCGAACCCTAATTGCAGTCCTCTATTGATCTGGAAACTTGCTGACAGTTTGGAGATCATCCTCACCGTGTGCGAAATTGCATGAGTCGCCAAACCTCAGTAACCGGTGGCACAGGCAGGTCTTGCTCTATGTCCGCGTTCAACGCAGACGTGGCACGTGGAGAGATTGGGAGTCATGAGAAGATGCAACAGCAACCAACAAATCCTCTTGCTCGAGTTGATCTGCAGGAGAGTGGCCAGCAAACGCCTGTGCCCATGAAGTGCCGGCACAGCTGTGACTTGCGAAGAAGGACCTGCCAAGACATCTGGGTGGAAGCAAATCTTCCCAAAGCTTTTCAGTAAGCGCAGAGGATGCGTTCATGATCATCGCACAATCGACCTCTGGAGGAAGGTAGACCCTTTTCTCGCGCAGCTCATTCTCACCGTGGGCAAACATGCAGCTGTCACCACGCCAACCTTGCTCCGCAACTGTCTGCCGTCTCTTGACATCGGGGAACGTCTCTAAAATAGTATCCGCGTCATATTCCTTTCTATACCCCCAAACTTTTGTGATTCCTTTGAAGTGGGAGCCAATTTTCTCAGCTCCTGGCAATTGCCACCCTGCTCGAAATGTCGGCAGAGCATGGTCTTGTGAAGTCCCTTGGAAGGCCCAGCCATCAACTCCTCCTTTCCGTGCGCGAAGGTGCACCTCACTCCAGCCGATTCCCAGCAGGTGACCAAAGGAGCACCAAAACTGAAACTTGCAATCTTTTTTTGTCATTATTTTCGTTGTGATTAGTGATTAGTGATTAGTATTGTTGTTAGTATTGTTGTTGTGGGTAGTTAAGCACAATCTGAAGCCAAGGCACTTGGCACCCAATCTGCATGTCCCGAGCCTTTCGAAGTGTCGGCACAGGACGACTTTCGCAGGTGCCTTGCTTGCACCCTCGCGAGCGTCCTTGCGGCCCAGGTCAGCTTCCTTCGCTTGCTTGGAGCTTGGTTTCTCCTTCTCTTTGCCAGAGCCTGGCTTTGCTGTTTGCTTCTTGGGCTTTGTCTGCTTGTCCGGCACCTCGATTTGCGCTTCCACGACTTTCCCTGGGCTTGGGTCCGACATGGAGCGAGGCTTCGATATCTCGTTGGACTGCTCGGTGGTAATGGGCGGGCAGACGAATGTTACCGGCACGGGTGCTAGGCGAGCCTTGATAAAAGCAGCTGCTCCATCCACGCATTTCTGCATGTGCTCCTTGTACTCTGCAAGGGGGCCCACCCAAGTACAAGCCCCACCATGATCCTCGGAGGCTTCTTGACATCAACATCCCCAGTGACCCTACCGCCAATGACACGATTGATTAATCCCTAAAGGAGCCAACCTACAAAAGAACCCTTTCCATGAAGTCCAGGTTCCAGGTGGTTGGCACACCGGACTTTCTGGGTACTGTAGAGGCGCCAAAGAATACTGCTGGATCCCTCAGGCTTCAAGACCATCACCTCCTCTCGCTTTAAAGGCGTCATGCAAGCCGGGCATGGAACCTCAATGTAGGGCTGCCAGTTTCTGGACAGAAAAACTTGGAGCGTCGGCTGGAACAAGCAAAAAGGAATGCAATGCCCAGGCGCAGAGGGCAAAGGCTTCTCTGATCCATTGCGTTGGTATTCTACCCACTGGGAAAAGCATGGCCCGCAAAATAAGTGGGAGCAGGAAGTTACAACCTTGGCTGCAGGCGTAGTTCCCGAGGTTGGTTATGCCCAAAGTCGCTCGCTCTGGCAACTAAGCTGACAACCGGCTGGTGCATGACCTCAGTACCTTAGCAAAGAACTTCTCAGGATAAAGCCCTAATTGGAAGGAGAAGCCCTGATAATCCCCCTTTATGACCCTATGGTTTGCTCAAGATTTCTGAAGGCGCTCTGAGTCTTAGAAACCCAAGCTGATGGCGCACCACTCATAATAAAAAGTGCTTCACTACATCTGAGTCCAAGTAGCAAATCTTACCTGGGCTCCATGGTTGCAAGCGGATGCACCAAAAAGCAGTCAACGAAAGCAGAACACTCCAAATTCTTACTTGGAGGCTAAAAGTCGGAACATGAGCATAAATTGTCTGAATTTCCGGCCAAAGCTCATACAAAGTCATCGCTCTCGTTTACAAGCTGCTCTGCTGAAATCTGGAAGCGAAGCTGTTGCAGCTGCATGGACACCTTCTGGCCGTCGGCCATCGAAACCAGGCGCTGCTAAACTTAAGTACCAAAACGTGCGGAACAACAGGACTCCGGGTCTGAAAGCCTGTTGCTGGGCTTGAGCTGTTGCTCTCCACCTGCTGCTGCAGAAGCCATGACAATGAACCCGCAGACTGTCATATGCCATTGTGTTCTAATTCCTGCGGCAAGTGCAGCGACATGAGCGGACAAACTTGTAGCGCAGGCAGGCACGTCAAGCAAATAATGTTCTGCTTGGTACAGGCTGGCTTGGGTCTTCGCCGTCGTAAGGAAGTACTTCACAATGATATCCGTCCAAGCATGACCTTTGCAATGGAACCATGGTGCAGCAAGTGGCAGGCAAGCTAGGAATGCATCCCTCCTTGCAGGATGACGCTGCTTGCTAGGCTCCCAGCTCATTTGATGCTGGCAGATACATCGGCCAAAGGCTTCTACGATGTCGAACTGAATGATGCCCTGAGCAGTAAGCAAGAATGGTCTGGGACCATCGGGTACTTCTCACAGGTCCATCAGGCCTGAATCAAGCCATTCACATGACCTGGTTGGACAGCTCATTCCACATGCTCTGGTCCAAACAAGCATTTAATCTCAAAGAAAAGGGATCATAAGGACTGCTGTCCTTTCAAATAGTTAGGGTATCACATGGGCTTTTGCGTCTGTGGCGAGGAGCTCCTGCATCTGACTTTAAGGCCGGCGCGATTCAGCATGCTCGTGAGCTTGGCAATTTGCTCATTCTGCCAATCCTCACCGCCTGACCGTGGCTCTTGAACCCATCTCTAGCACACCTGGGGAAATGCCCAGTAGCTGAACTGTAGCAACTCAAGTCCTCAAAAGCGACACCGCCAGCATAGTGTGTTTCACATCTTGGTACCAATTGCTTGGCCAACCCGCTTTGACATCATGTCATGTCTTCTCTGGAAACACATGCCCTGTTGCCTGCATCAGTCTTGGACAGGAACACGGAGTCGGCTGTGGTCAGCTGGACCAGGCACTGCCCTGCTGCTGATTGCATCTCGAAGGGTGCCTTGCAGCATGCAGCATGCCACCACTTAAACACCACCAGCCACACACAGCGTGACGGCCTACCAACAGAACTTTATGCAAAGCGGTCGGGGTCGTCATTGTACTACTTGCAGTAGAAATTGAATTACAGCTCGGCTTGCCGAAATTGTCATGGGTCCATCACGTGTACAGTCCGTCCCGGAGATGTCTCTTCACGGCGGACGCTTTGGAGATTCAGTTTGCTTCTTGCAGGCGTGAGCATGGGTCACGAATCTGCAATGCTCTCTTACAGAAAGGCGGCTCGGATAGAAGAAATGGTTTTCCGAACAGCTCAACCTTCGTGTAACTTAGAATGCGATGACAAGATGAATCAAACATCATCAAAAAGTTGCAAACTGGTGGGATGGCATGTGCATGGAAACTTGATGGGCGAGCCGAGGCCAACGAAAGCTAGCCAGGCTCTATCTGGAGTAGGGTAGACGAGGAGGAGGGAAGGTACATGCCAACCAGAAGCACAAGCCTCGTTAAGGGGCCTGGAAAACCCTTCGCAAAACCTCGCCAACTCGACTCCCGTGTCCACTTCTCCTTGCAACCCACTTTCCTTTCCAGCCCTCTGCTCACTACTTTCCCTATTCTCCCACTATTTGCTCCACGTTTCACTCCACTGTCCAGTCTAACTCTGACTTTACTCTGGACTCCACCCTGACTCCAGAGACCACTCCAGTTTCCACTCACTTTCTGCAACATTCACCATTCTACTCTGCAATGCACTCTTCACTCTCTCTCCAGTCTATACTCCACTCTCCACTGCTTTTCCACCTCACTCTCCACCTCTTTCCACCGCAGTTTCCTCACACCTGTCCCTTCCACTCTATTCCATTCCGCAATGGCGCAAGTAGCGTAGTCCCGGCATTCATGGCATTCTCTGCCAACGTCCAAAAGCCGGGACAGGCGCGAGGATGGCGAGTCTCACTGTCCCATGCTGACCACAGGGTCACATGCGAGGAAAACACGACCAGGTACGAGCATGGCAAACTGAAGGCGCCCTTGCCTGCGACAGTAGGTGGTCTTACATGAGTTGAAGACATGAGGCTCCAAAAGTGGCGGATGGCGACCGCAAGGGGTCTCATCCCTGTCACTTTTCACGTGCAACAAGGACGCCACTCTCCAATAACAAATAAAGTTACCAGAGATGGCTACCCCAAGGTGCAGCATCCCTGCGAGTGTTGGCACTCATGAACTCTTCGCATGCCACGAAGCAGCAACGCTTCCCTGCCCCGCCCGGCCCATGCCCCGTGAGTGAATGCACCTTTGACATGCGACGCAGCAACGACGGTCCAAAAGCGACAACACCTATATAAGGATGGTGACGGCGCGAATGCTTGGAAGCGCTTGCCAACGCATGTGGACGCGTTGCGGACACTTCGCGGACGCTTGCGCACACATTCGCGACGAGTTTGCTTGGCCATAGATTCCTGAAAACAGGACCCAGCAAGAGGAAGGTTGCACGGAACGACCAAGCAAGATGGTACTTCTAGCATGACCACACAACGTCGGGAGCACTAGGAAAGGGGAAGGGAGGTTTGATTCAACCACGAAGAGTGAACTTACCCGCACTCTGGCCCAAAAAAGGGGGTCATAAAGAGAACTTGAAACAAGATTGAAAGCAACCACAAAGAAGCAAAATGGTACTCATACAAAGAGCACGCAGGAAACAAACACCAAAAGAGGAGAAGGTGACATGCAACGACCAGGCATGACGTGCTCGGTACCATGACCGTTCAAGTGCATGCACTATCAAAGACGGAGTAGGGAGCGTCAGTACAACCATCCAGCTTAATGCCATTCATGCCATGCTCATGCATGGGCAGGTTTAGCGAGCACTACAGGAGTGGCAAGGTCTCAATGAAATAAGAAATGGCTTGTTTCAAGACCAGGCAAAGGTATCAAACACAACAGAAGCAGGGAAAGGTGCAATGCAAAAACCCAGGATGATGATGCGCGCCGGGTAGTGATCACTACAGAGGGGCCAGGGAGGTTTGACGCAACGATCAGCACGGTTTATGCGTATCATGACTTTGCGAGGGTTGTGGACACAAAGAGGAGCAAAAACTTTAAAACCACCACCTGCTGGGGCATGGCAAACGATAGAACAAGTAGGAAGGTTTGACGCGACTACCAAGCGCGTATCATGACCATGAACCGTCGCGAACTGTGAACCGCGACAGACAGAGTACAGCCAGGGTAAAGTTTTGGAAGGACAGGAGTGGAAAGTAGGAACAGGAGCAGATTCCTATGTGTCATATTTCTGAACAGTATGTAGGGGGGACAACGCAAGCACCTATATTGAAGCCAGGAACCTATATTTTGGGCGCCGACAGGAGCACATTTTTTAGATGCAGATATATCAGGGGCATACACGAGTAAATCATGAAACATCACTACTTTCCATGAAATCTATTTCAGGCTGCAATCAAATAAAGAAGCAGGCCCTACAACAGAAACCAGAGCAGCATAAATCAAGCGAGCTAAGCTTTGGTATAGTTTTGCTTTAGCAGTGGTATCTTTAAAGGTCTCGAAAATTACGTAACGTGCGATATAAAAAGAATCTAACATTAGTGCGAAAACAACTACAAAACACGAGCGCAAGACTATACCAATGAGCGAACAGTCAGTCAGTCATACGCCGGGCGGCGCGTGGATGGGAAATGAGCGAACGCTAGTAACAATTAACATGCAATACCAACAGAGGAACTATAGAGACGGATAGAACATCCGACCTCACAACAGGAACAACAGTATTACAACTAAACGACACTCGCAGAATTACAATTAATAGAGCAGCTATAAAGAATCAAACATTTAGTATGTTGTTGGAAAAGCGGATCTCATTAGTTGGGACGCTTTACGTTTAAGAACAGCAGCGAATTTGGAGAAGCATTGGACACACAGCAAAAGTCATCAATCAGCAACAGCGATGCGTTCGGAACCATAAATATTACAATGGAACTACAATCATCAACACCAGAGATTAAAGCAACAGACGGACAAGGACATGTAGACATTACGCATGAGGATGCATCAGTAAGTCAAAGAGTCATATTCATAATCGAGACAGCAACGGACAAATATTAAGGTCAACTAATGATGCTAAGAAATTAGGCATGACATCATTTGGTTCTGATGTTTACGGCTCTCCAACATCAACAGGAACAGTGACACTTACAGGAACTGGAAACTGTAGTGCTTTGGTTGCAGCATGAGAAATTAAATGGAAAGAAAATATCAAAGAAGTAAGTGACAAGGATTGCTATAGAGTTGTTAATTCGTAGCATGAGCATGTCAGGAAGTGAACATTGAAAACAAAAAAAGATGCAACAACCAGGCATGATGTTATTGTGCAACTACCAAACGAACATGACGTTATTCCTACGAAGCCTCTCGCAGAAAGAATCACATTGAAACCATCTTCTCTCCCGCCCCTCAAAACCCATGATTCCTGTGAAGAATCACGTACGGACCCCCTCCCTCCCCCCCGCTCCTCGCCCCCCCAAACCTACACTTTGCTGTGAAAGAATCACGTATGCTCCCCCCCCCTCCTGTGATATAGCACACGATCCGTCGTTTTCCAACCTTGACAGCTACTACTGCTAAAGCAAGACTAGACTCAAGCCCAGCTCAGCTAGCTTTCATGACAATATCTAGCGAATCTAGCTTTGCAAAGCTTTGTCATGCTCTATCCACAACACCGTACCAGGCGGTTCCCTGGCATTGCAGAAACTTACGGCAGCTGCAGGGACGGGACGAGGCAAAGAGCCTAAGCAGATCCTTCCTGCCACGGGTGGACCCGAAGAGACTCCAACAATCTGCAAGTCACTGCCGGCAAGCCATGGCCACCGGACGCGTCATTGACATCTCAGAGTGACATGTGCACAAGTTCAGGAGCCTGGTCACAGCGGACTATGAAGGAGATGAGGCTGACGGCACCTGGCTCAGAATTCAGCACTCTTGCCGCAGGATTTAAGAGCATGAGGCTCAAAACAACGTGAGGCAAAGCAGAATCAAGGCGCGGAATCGTGCGGTCGTCACAACAGGATTATGCCCAGCATCCGGGAATACGATTTTAGATGTTGAAATCAATGCGGTTGCCTCCTCCAAGTTCTTGTAAGGGATCAATATAACATAACAAACCACGATCTGAATCCTAACCTGTTGGTGCCAAATTCACAGGTCCTACCAGTAGCACGGCAAAGATGATGATAATGATGATAATGATGATGATGATGATGAGAAGAACATGGTGATAGCATGTGCCAAAGCAAAAGTAGCACAGAAAGGTGCACCCCAAATGGAGATGCCCGAAGGTCCCTGAAATGGGGACCAGACCACTGATATCCAGAAATGTCTCAGGCCAGCAAATAATATTCCAAGTTCGTCCTCCACATGCAGTGGCTGCCTGCGACGTCATTGTCCGTCAGCTCCATGAGCATGAGGCCTGCAGTGTATCCAGAGCGAGTTCTTCTGATTGTGCCGTACGGTACCTTTTGAGGCATGTCATGTGACTGTGGACCACAAATGTCCAGCACCGCAGCTCCAGCAGCTGCGTTGCACATGATCGAAAGCTTGAGAAGCTAAACTTTTGGATTCCGTGCAAGCCTGTCAAGGTGTCGCCAAAGATGGCAAAAAGAACCTGGCGCATGCATTTTCGCATTTTGACAGCTTCGGCACCACCGCAAAGCAGCAAAGCATGCTCTCGAAGTCGCAAGCCGCTTCATCATGTTGGGAGCAATGACTTCTAACTGATTCAACAATCAGGTTGTCAGCCCCTCTGAACAATCTCTGTTCAACAGAGCATTGGCAAAACGGGGGAGGACCTGCCCTTGCAGGCCCAAAGAAGCTGAGCCCTGGCAGCCACAGCTTTGCAAAACAAAGAAGCCTCTTGGGCAGACACTTCCTGTCAGAGGAATGTACTTCTACAACTCGACTGGAGGTGCCGGTACAGTAACATCCGGGATCCATGGATCATGCTGTTCTTGCTTTCTTCTCAGGAGGCTCGCTCTTGCCCAAGGCCCAATCCTTGAAACAACGCCCGCAAGCTCCGCACATAATAACCCGTGCTATCGCCGGAGCAATCGCTCGGCATTGCACATTTACACGCGCTGACAATAAGTCCCAGGCGTAGTAGCGACGGAACGTCGACCCCAAGAAGTCACCAAAGTTTTGTCCCGGTCTCAGAGATGGGCAACGATGCAAAACTAGCTTAGCTTCCAAGATCTACACTGCGCCAAGCAACTCCCACCGTTCACCAAGAGGAGGTACTTTCGAAGAGAGGCCTTCACAAGAAAACTGATTTGCAAAAGGGTCGCTGCTTCTCGGCAGGGGCTCGGACCTTTCGCAAGGACCTCCTCGCGAGACACACCCTCTGGGATCCTGCCGCAGCGTGTTTTTGCGCATTGCCACTGCAATTCCTTTAGATGTGACGTGCCTAAGCTCGAACGAGGGGTGCGTATCCACAAAGCATGGGCAGGAGATCCTGGCAACCTTCAAGCAACTGGGGTGCTACCGCATGGTCCCTTCAACAATCATGTCCCAGCCTTGCGCCCAGCGGTATACTGGGGCCGGCATCCCCGCACACAGTGAGGAGTCGCCACGAACTCACCAGCGGTCACAACCTAGAGCCAAGTTCTACTGTCATAGTAATAATAACAAAGCTAACCGTAAATGCAAAAATAGTAGTAGTAGTAGTAGTAGTACTAGTACTAGTACTAGTACTAGTACTAGTAATATGGGCTATTAAGAAGAAAAAGCAAGGCCAGGACCTGGGTGCACTCACCCACTTGGATGGCCATGCAGTCTGGGGGAATGCCAACTCGGATGGCCTCTCAAGTGGCAGAAAGCCGTTGGTAGGCAGCCTGCTACTGCCGTAATTGTCGGGATAATATTAGGGTTATATTGGGGATTGTATCAGGTTGTGTAGGGATAATGGAAAAGAAAATGGAAACCACTGTAGTATATTAGGGAATCCTGAGGACGGTACACTGCCATCACGATCCACGATCCACAAGCCGGCCCCTTCTGGATCTGGATTCGGAATGATCTCTCCCTTGGGCAATGGAATCTCCCCGCGCTGGACTTAACCCAAAAAACGACTGAGGGCATCACGTCCTTGTCATCCACCTCAACATATGAAAATGCTTATGGAAATTGCTGCTGTTCTCAAGCTGTACTTGGAATGTGTAATGAGTCTGCAGGCGGGTCTAGCCGAGCCACGTAGATGTCTGGGGTGAGTCCAGTCATGAAGCCAGAGTCGTTATGCCTTGGGCGACCAAGAACGCACGAGATTTGAAGGTCCCCGCTGGGGGGCCCCCAAAATGACGAGTCCTGTCTTCAGGGTCTGCATGGATGACCCGCCTTTTGAAGCCGACTGGCTCCATTTCAAATTAGATTGAGGAAGCGGCCAGCCAATCCATCCGTCCTGATGATGCCACAAATCGAGGTATTGCACCACGCTCCACTGCTGGTGCTCTTGCTATGCATATTTTCCTGACGGTGCCACTGGGACAAATGGAGCTCTTGTCTAGTAGCCTTCAATGTGAGATCTTCGGAAAATCTCATTCGCACATGGCAGCATCAGGGGGCTGTGGACATGCAGGGCCAATGTGTTTGTGTTTACATCAGAGTCTCAGTAGAGGTTTCTCATGCTGTAAACATCTATTAGTCTGAGTGTTAGCGTGCATTAGCAGACTACCAGCATCATTGCTACCAATACGACATTTACTTGATGCCTAGGCACAAACTCTACAACTTGTCGATCACTGTTCTGCACTGCAAAGTGGCTCCTCAGAAACGGCGGCTTGCGCTGCCCCCGTCTCCTGCAGCTCAGCAATGACCAAAATGAGCGGCTGATTCTTGACTGAACTGCGGCCATGCGGTGAGACAAGTCGTAAAAGCTACTGCTACCGTCGATGTGTTGCCCCCGGAGCTACCGCGGCCGCCGCTGCTGCTGCTGCTGACACTACTAGCTGACGCGCAGCAAACAAACATGCTTATGCCGCCACCACCGCCGCCACCACCACCACCACCACCACCACCACCACCACCACCACCACCACCACCATGTCACCACCGTAACCACCACCAGTCACCACCGCCGCTGCTGCCTTCGAAGCCGCCGCCGCCACCTGTACCACTACGTCGCCGCCGCCCAGCACAGCCGACGCCGAAGCCCTGATTACTACGCTGTGGCAGAAGCCGCCCAGTACCACAAAACAAAAAACGATTCGGCCCGCGTCCTTTGGCGGGAAGTAATAGAGCAAGCGGCCTTTGCACTTTTCGGTCTCGCCTGGATGTGCAGAAGATGCTTCTGCTCCAAAGGTGTCGCGTGATGCAGGACAAGGACCACGCTCAGCGTCTTTCCGAGGTTCGCTGTGTAGTTCTTTACCTGGGAGCAGCTCACTCGAAACCCTTGTTTGAGAGGGAGACAAGTGTCTTCACACTCCTGACCCCGGAAAAAGCGCAGAACCAGTACCAAGGACCTCGCTTTGCTGGCCATGACTCGATCAACCTGCTTTCCCAGGTGGCCAATGACCTGCAACAAGCATGATTCACGTGTCCACTTCAAAAGTTTCCGACTGTTTCCGTGGAATGCATCCGCACCGATGCCCAGATGGAGTCATTGAGTAATTGAGTGTAGACATGACACGGTATCCAAGATGAACTGCTGCCTCCTGCATTGCCTTGCCAAGCGCTTTGCAATTCGTCTCAAGCTCAGGAATTTCCTGCCCACACGAGCCATGCATTCAGTGCTCAGGCCGTCTCCTACCACAAGGAGGTCCTTTGGCCAAAGGTTTTTTGGCAGCGCCCAGGGAAATTTGGCACGATCCTCCTGGCCAAGCGAGAAGGGGGCAAAAGGACACCTCCATCCCCTCTAAACCAAAGCGGAGGTGCCTCCGTGCCAGGAGCATCGGCTAATGGGTTGAAATAAAACCTCCGAAAGAAGGCCGAAGCATCAGCTGTGCAGGAACTGTGCCTTTTCAACTTGTACTTGGGTAGCTGCGAGCCCTTAGCTAGGTCGGGCTTGTCCCCAAGCTTCTCCTTCCCATGGGACCTTTTCCACCAAGTCAGGAACCCCTCTCAAGACCTTTCAAATCTTGAGCGCCTGGCCAACCTGCGTTGTACATAGACGCCTGGGGTCGCAGCATCAAAAATGCGCATGCAAAGGCACGATGCAGCAAGGCCTCGTCCTCAATAGCTCGCAGACTCTCGGGTGACAAGTGCGCAAGCTTGTGTGACAACCTCAAGCACAGGCTGCAGCAACGAGGCTCGAGAGTTCTGCCTTTTTTTAGGTTCCACGCTTCAGCACGGACAAGTAAAGCTCCTCTGCAAATTGTGAACATGCTATTTTGGCCTGGCTTGACTTCCAGACAAAGGGAGTCCTGCCATCGAGGCACCCCGCGGACTGCCACCACTCCCAGGCTGCCGGGGCCCCATGCCTGGCCCAGCTGGCTAGCCATGCGCTCTACCCCTCTTTACTCCTCCTTTGCCTCCAAAAGCTGGGGCCCCAGATCGGTGCCTGCAACCAGGTCCTCGTACCTGCAACGCATGCAACAGTCATGCAACGCTCAGCGTTGAAGCGCCAGACAAAGTGCAAGCGACGTGTAAAGTAACTATTTCCAGTCATCAGGTCACGAGATGACGACAACTTCACGAGGCATGTACCTGAGTCCAGTTGTCGAAGGCATTGCTTAATGCTGGTCTGAGGCTAGGACATGGGCAAGTCGACTTTCGAAAGGAACGTGGAAACTTCAGGTTACAGCTCTACAACGCTGAAGCCAGATCATGCGGTCAGAGTTGTTGCGCCCAGCAGTCTACATGGAACAGTGTACCGAGTTATTAATTCTCTCAGCGGGCATGGACTCCGGCTGGGGAAAGGTGCACCTGAAGCATCCACAGCCGCAAGAGGCCTGTTGCCCCAGGCTGAACCTGAGGCTACCGGGTGAGAAAGGCTTGGGGGTGGCTGCTTTGGCGGGAAGAATGAGAATGCGACCCATTCGTAGGTCTCGACACAGGACAACAACACATCGTAAACCTGCCATCAGCAACTTGTGGAATCAGCAACTTCTCCGTGCATGGGCGCATAAGTCTAAAGCGATGCAAAAAGCAAAAAAAAATGTGTATTGCGAGACCGGAGTGTCTCCTGGCCGATGTTAAGAAAGAGCATGAAAAGCCTGTTTATCTATGTGGCACACAGCACCCCTGCATCCGAAAGCCATAAAACCTTATTCTGCATCCACCTCTGCATCCTAAACCCCAAGCCCTTCATCTTAAGATGGGCTCGGCCTGAACCCTGAGTTGAAACGCTCATTGCTATCTTCGCAGGAGAATTATCACTTGTGAAGGCCTAGTGTTCCTAAAGCTACTACTACCAACGGTACTACAATACTGGCCGAACCCGAGACCAAACCAAAGGCCCAAAGGCCTCATGCACGTCTTCGAGGAGACGCAGCAGGAGCTCCTTCACATTGTAGGCTTGAGCGTTCTCTTGGGGCTTCTCAGATTTCAAACAAGCCATCTTGGGAGATTTGCCAGGAGTTTCGACATGGACTAGCTGATCAGGATCTAGATATTGAAGTACATCCTAGAATCCCGACTCTCAGACATTGTCAACTGCTATCGCAAGCCGTTGTCCAACGCAGCCAAAACGACACACAACCCGAAAAGGGACTCTACACGTCAGGCTCTTAGGTCTGCTCGGGGAGGATGGTCTCCTTGTTTGCAATACCTGGCATGCCGAACCCAACCTTCGTGAGTGTCTCGAAGCATGCCTGCGAGCTGGGGCATGTCTCAGCTGGACACAACGAGCGGGAGCAACAAAGAAGGCATGACAACAACATTAGAACACAAATCTGGATGGTCATGCGCATGAGAGTACTCAGTAGTAAAAGCATAACTTGGACTTCGTGCTGGTCATGCAACACCGTGTTCCTACAAGAGACACACAAAGCCTCGTAGACATCGAAAGAATCCGGAGCACCGCAGGATATTATAACCGCCTGCACGACTGAAATGCTTTCAGTGAAAAAGATGCTCTTCGCAGCTGGACAAGGTCGCAAGACCGCGGTTCGATGAAATACTGCGTGACCGTTTTTTTGCTTCACGAACAAATGCTTCATCGCTTGTCTCACACGATCATCGAATTGCTTTGACGGGTTGTGCCACTCTGTGCAAGAGGGTGGCCAATCAACAACGACAGTTGTTAACTACCCCTAAACGGGCATATGTGTATCACAAATCTGTCACGTGGCACAAAGTGACAGAACAGGCCTCTGGCTCAATTTCTTAACATATCATGGTGCTGGTCTAATGTCTTATGGCAATGTAGGAATCCGCGACCCAGGCAATAGTTGAGGCGGGTCGTTGCCAGAAGGCCTGGAAAATGACTCTGTACCTGATTCCATCAGGTCTACAGGAGAATTCGAAATGAAGTTAAGGCTGGGTTTTACGGAGAGAGGAGTCATATTGACACTCTCCAATGAATAAGCCGAGGCAAGAAGCACTAAAGTCAGGCTGTCAGTTGAAACAGAGACCGCCGTAGTCCTGCAGATGGACTCTCAGGCAGGCCCACGTGAATATGTCCGAAAGACCTTTGCAGTCCTCTTGAAGGTCATCCTTGCGACTTGGCTTTGGGTGATGCGGCAGGCTGAGATGTATCGGCCGGGGCAGCTGGGGCAGCTTCACCTTCTGGGGGAGGCGGTGCCGGGCCAGCTGGAGGTGCCGGCAGTCCCTGAGACTTTGCCTCAGCCTTCGCTTCGGCTTTCTCGGGTTTTTCGGGTTTCTCGGGTTTGGCTTCCTTGTCATCTTTCGCTTCCTTCTCTTCTGGCTTTGACTTGGCCTTGGGGCCAGGCTTAGGAGGGGCCACCATCTTAGGAGGTGGTGGCAGTGGCCTCGAAGATGGGGAGGCTGGGGGTGGGGCAGCCGGGCCAGATTCTGCGGAGGCTCCAGCCGGCTTCGCCTTTACGGGCGGTGCCTTGGAGACCTGGACAGGCGGCGCAGCTGGCGGCGCCGTAGCTGGCGGCGCAGTAGCGGGATTAGCGGGTTCGGGATCCTTCCCTGCGGCATTGGCCTGTTCAGCTGTTGGCTGAGTCGGCTCTGCGGCAGCTTCAGCTGAAACAGCTGCCGCTGGGGGGCTCTCTTCGGTTTCTGGCTTTGCTTCCTCCTCTTTCTTTTCCGGTTCAGCCTTCTTGGGCTCAGGTTCCTTAGATTCCTTGTTGTCCTTCTCCTCTTTCTCCTCCTTGGGCTCATCAGCAGGGGAGGCCTGGTCGGATGCCTCACCATCTGGGATGGCCGTCACCGCCAGCATGGCACCTGACACGCAAAGCCTAAAGCTCCCGTGACTCCAAAAGAGCGCGCCAGTATGCTCCAGCCTTCTGGTGGCTCCAAATCCACGTCTACGCTGTCGGTCTCCTCAGACTTTTGGCCTCGTGCTCTGCTGGGCTTTACTCTCACAGTGGCTCTCAGTTGCAACAGAAAATGGCCTGGCAGAGCCGCAGACTTTGGCTGCCACCTCAGCATGAGATCCGAAATACATCTGTCGCGCCCACACAAAAAAAGAATACAGCACATCAGCCACTGGGAGCCGGACTTTGGTGCAATTGCCGGGGGAGTGGACTTTGGTTGCCCAGGCTTCGCAGGTGGTGGCTGCACAGCAGGCTGGGCTTTCGCAGTCTTCGGCGCTGCGGGCAGCCTCAGCTATAGCAAATATGACGACACGAGCATTGCAGATTGTCATCGACACCAGTCTGCTTGCAAGTGGCTGATTGCCAGGCTTGGGAACAGCACCTGAACAGTAGACACAGGCCATCACAGCTGCGGCAAGATGATGTCCTTTCATCGTGCCCCTGTGCCTTGTGCCGCTTCGACTTCCTGCAAGGCACCAAGGCACTGTCTTCGCATAACAATACCATTACGCAAGAAGACTATGATCTGCCTGACTCTACTGCAAAGATGAAATGAAAATTGTTGCAGGGCCGGTCCTGACCACCTTCCAGGGTCTGTTGCGGACCCACCTGCCTGGGCATCATTTGCCTTGGAAGTGCAGCATGTTTCTCACAAAGCCGCATGCAGAAAGGAAAGGCTTGGCTTCCGGCCCCGGACGCCGTGGATCACCTGCACCGCAGCAGATATAAAGCACTGGCGGAACACACCTTGAATGTAGTGTGAGACCGCCACCTTGCTCAAACACCTGCGCGTTCTCTTCCTGCGTGAGGGCTCGTGTGGTTTGGAGACAACATTCGTGCCACATATGTTGGCAAATGAATACTTGCCGTCCTCCTGAGGCAGCTCAGAACCCAAGGGGACGCGCTCGACCTGCATTCACAGGGACAGCAATATCAAAAAGCACCTTCTGTCGCATCTTGATTCGCACTGATGCCCAACCAGGGAAAGCCGCACCGTAAAGTGTACATTCTTCCTGTCTTTGGACAATTCCTGCACCATCCTGCACACAGGTCACAGCTTGCAAAATCATCGGGAGCCTTGCCCTCTGCACCATGACAACACTTACAACCACTACTACCTTGACTGATAGTAATCAGCCTGCCACTACTGTAGCTGCGACGACTGCTGCTACTACTACCAGCAGCAGCAGCAGGAGTAGTAGTAGTAGTAGTAGTAGTAGCAGTAGTAGTAGTAGTAGTAGCAGTAGTAGTGGTGGCAATCGTCGTCGCAGCAGTACTATTACAAATAAAATACAAAAGAACAATAATGATATAGCAAAATAAGAATAACACTCACAACACAAATACTGGTACTAGTACGATTCCTAGTACTGTAGACTATAGTACTACTACTACTACTACTACTACTACTGCTACTACTGCTACTACTGCTACTACCACTACCACTACCACCACCAACACCTCCACCTCCACCACCACCACGACAACGACGACTACTACTAGGATGGAGGAAGTCTTGAACAAAGGAAAACCCCGTACAATTTGAGAATTAAATACCACTACTATGACCAACATACTCCAACCTCCTATGTTGTTCCGAATGCGTTTATGGTGCTACTACCTCTGGCATGTCTTGTAATGCTGTTGCTGCTTCTGCCGAACAGGCTGGCTCATTTCCAAGATACTGCGTTCATTCCTTTCTTCTCCGCCACTGTCGTCATCGCAGTAGCAGTCGTAGTAGCAGCAATAACATTAGTAGTAGTAGTAGTAGCAGTAGTAGTAGTAGTAGCAGTAGTAGTAGTAATAGTAGTAGTAGTAGTAGTAGCAGTAGTAGTAGTAGGAGTAGTAGTAGTAGTAACAGTAGGAGTAGTAGGAGGAGGAGGAACACGGTCCGTTTTCCGGCTATGGTGCAAAACCCCCATAGCTTTGGCGCTCAAAACCTGCTCTGTGACAGCAAACACCAGTATCAGCCTAGTGCGCTCGGAAAAGCTCGTTTTCAAAAAGCGTCGTATTTTGGTTTCGGTTGTTTCACGTGTGCGCGTGCAAAACCACCGTTTCGGCAATGTATTTTCTCGCGATGTTCCTCCAGATTTGCTTCCTTCAAATTTACCTTTAAAAACACTTTGCGAGCTTTGTTGGTGTTTTGCGTTTTTCCTTTTTTGATCCCATCGCGGCATCAGGCCACGCATGCTCAAAACGATACTGCAGTTTCGGCACGTTGGAGGACTTTTCCGATCTCTTGGACTTCGTTCTGCAGGTAGGAAAGTACCAACAGCTTTGTTTTTGGAACGTGTTTCTCCGACTGCTTTTCTGTTTTCGATTCGGTTGGTTTCACGCAGTCATAGGCTTTAGACCCCCATTTAAGCAAGTTCCAGGTTCCTTGCAATCCACGCGCAGCTTTTCTTCATTCTAACAAATACTTCGAGGTTTTCCTATTACACGTGTAGAGGCCTAAGGGCCCCTTCAAAAAGCAAGGGGCTTATCAAAAAAAAAGGCTGGGCTTCCTTCCAGCTGCCACGCTGCCGTATGCTCGTAGATCCAGTTTCGCAGCGTTCGAATACTTCTTCCATGCATCCACCTTCGTTTGAAAAATCCCAAGTAAAAGTGCGGAACCCCAAATGCCCCTCATTAAAAAATGCGAACATATGAAACTCCAAGAGCCCACTTCAATAAAAAAACAAAGTCCGAAATAGAAAGAGGAAAGCCCACCGGTCCTGCACAACTCTCATGAAACAAACTAAACATACAGAACTTACCTACTGAAAGCCCGGAGTCTTGAAAGAAAGAAATTAGATTTAGCTCATTTTTGCAAAGTCAAAAACAATTTGCTTAAACACCAATTTCAGCATGAAAATCGGCCTTAAGATCCAAGGCAGGAACTTTTCGATTCTGCGAATTGGCCAAGATGATTTCGTCCATATTCGACCCTATACTGTTTTGCAAGCATTCATTTTGGCCAAGATAGTTTTGTCTAGGTTCGACCCTGTACTTGTTTGCTACTGCTTTTTAATAATTGGATCACGTAAAGATCCAGGGATTCAATCTACTACGACGTCTCAGAGCATACTGCACTGTCATGAATCCAGACCTCCTCAAAAGTTTTAACCCCTGATTGCACAATTCCACCAAGGCCTTACTTTTCAACATTTGCCCATTTGTACTATAGTCTAAACTCCTCAAATGGGGTTATATAGGCGATTATATAGGGGACTACTATTGGGGTTGTAAGGGGGGATACTAGGAGTTTAGATTATGGCTCATATGGCAATTTCTGAACATGCTGGTCCCCTGTTCATTTATTTACCCCACACACAGTTGTTCAGCCAGTTGGAGGTGTCTTCAAGTTAGGGCCCCGTACATACTTGCGAAACACTTCGACAATGCCAGCTAAATCTGTGTGCGAGGACCTGAAGAAAACCCAACGATCGACTGGGCTCTGCGTGCTTTTTTCAAAACATGCATTCCAGACACACTCACACATGGCAGCGAGGCAGTAAGTACTGGCAAAACACAGCTTTTGCGAACATAGAAATGTTTCAGACAGCACGCTTTTGAAATCTGAGTTGAAGTATAGGCGAAGTGTTTTTCGGTCTGGCAACTGGTAGAGGAAAAACAACTAAACAATGGATTCTGTAAACAAATTCCATGTCCCTCGCGATGTTTCGGGCTCTGCGTGGTTTTTTCACAACATGCATTTCAGACAGACTGACACATGGCAGAGAAGCAGAAAGCACCCCAATCAAGTTCATGCTTTCAACTTCAATAGTTGGGGAAAATCATTATTGGACCTCTTTACTACCCCTGTAACCTTCAATAGCGTAGGCCAAGTCTTATTGCGTTGTCTTTCTGCCCTTACAATCCTGAAGAGCATAGGCTAAGTATCATTGTGCCTTCCCACTAGCCTAAGGTTGCTGGTAGAAGCGAGCGAAGTGCTGGTTTGCAGAGGTGTGTTAGGTTTTTCTTTGGGCTTGCTGTGTGTACCCTTCAAGGTCTGAATGCTCATAAATATGAATGTCAATGGGCATTTTTGTTAGTCTCTCAAGTCTGAATGACACATGTTCCAGCGCATGTTAATGAGAAGGATCTGTAAAGGTGCGTGAGGTTTTCCTTCGGAGCTTGCTGTGCCTAAAATCCTTTGTGAGCTTCCCATGCCTCAAGTCATTAATAGTCATCATGGACGTAATTATCCTCCCCTTCCCTTTCAATCAAAGGGTGTGAAATTCCGCAAAAATCCAACAGAGCGTTTTGGGCAAAAATAGTTCAACCAGAGAATTCTTACAAGGGCACAAAACAGAGTTCTTAAAAAATCAAGGAAAAGCAGACTTTCAGAAAACGAACCAATGGACAAAAGTACTGCAAATACCAATAGTTTAGGCTGCGTCGACCACAATAATGCAAAAAAAGACCAAAACAACCCGACTGGCAGTTGGAAGAGGAAAAACTGTGAAGAGGAAAGGGTCTAAAAAGCAGTGAAAATGTGCGCGGCGGCTGTCATACTCAGACAAAGAAGCACACAAGAGAGAGTCGTCAAATACCAAAAGTATGCCTAGTAGTAATTTTAGAAATAGTAGTAGTAGTAGTAGTAGCAGTAGTAGTAGTAGTAGTCGTAGTAGTAATAGTTTTTGGTATGCTACTAGTCCATGCCTGTCGAAACTGAACTGATCGCTGGAACATGCATCCTGTGACCATCCCGTCCTGACAGCGAACTTGTCATTCTGTGGGTTGCTGTCTCCACCTCAACAATCGTGCTGCTGGGCAGGAACAGGGTTGGAACAGGACCGAAGGTAAGAGCTTTCACATCATGGCACCAGTAAAGATGCTGTGAACAGTGAATTTCAGCTGCAGGGTGCCCCTGGTATTAGGAGAAAAATGCTCCCGGCCCACACTCACTCTTGAGTTGGGTGCTGATGCTCAGGTCATTGACCTCCAGGATATGGTCGCCTCAGACCGAGAAACGCACTTGACAAAGCAACTGAAAGCCGTGCCTCATGCCTAGGCATGCTTGACGCGCCTGGTAAGACTCGGTAGGGCATCTGGCTCTGCTTATTCCATGCATCAACCTTGGTTCATTGGAAGGTTGTGAAAGGAGCTCGGCTTGGGAGATTGATTTGGTGCCCGGCTCGACCACCCTCACTGACTTTGTACACCAGTAAACCACCTTATCCAAGGACACAAGTACCCCCAGCCTGTCTCACGACCAACTCTGCAGTGATAGCCGATAGCTCCAAGGACATGGCAGAAGTTTGCTTCTCGCTTCAGGACGACCTTGCAACACGTCCACTTGACATCCCTTTATTCCCTTGCAGAAGATCTAACAATTGACCCAACTACCCCCCACCACACATTCACTATGTATTACCAGGCTACATTGCTGTCAGCACGTGTACTAAGGTACCAGCATCAATGCCAAGGCGACCCGGTCCCTTGCGTGCAAGCACCACCTCCGGCCAGCAATAGTCAATCGAAATTTGGGCGTGCTGGGTTTGTCTGCAAGGTGCAAGCTGCAAACAATCATGCTCCAATTTGCTAGATTGCCAGTGGGTGAGATTTGTGTTTTTCTGTTGTTGTCTGCATGTTTTGTCGGCATATTTTGCTTTTTCGGGTGTCCTGGGCATTCTGCAGACCAAAAATGTGAGGACGCTCCACGCGAGAGCTCAAAATCATTTCAGGATGCTCTACGCGAGAGTTCAAGCTGTTGGGATGCTCCTGCGAGAGCTCAATAAATTTGAATAGAAACTAGAATTATTAGTACGTGTTGTAATAGCAAACCCAAAGCAAGTCTGACAGAAGGGATAAAACATAAAACCTACCAATGCTACTACCAAGCATGACAATGATAAGCTACAAGCAACTTATCAGTTTAACCGTAATGTTGCACAGATGTTTGCCAAGGGACTCTCTTTAATGAGTTTTGGCCGCCGCTTAAACATTTTCGGCCCGTTGTTTCACGCCTTTCTTTGATGCGCTTTGTTTCTGGGCACCTACCCGAATCCAGACCATCCCATTTTAAAGTAATCCCCAGGGCCTTTTCAGGGCCCTCTGTACCGTGGGAGCCTATATTGTGGAGGACACCTGTTTTTAAATTTCTGGGGGTCGTATTGTTAGGGGGGCAGGGGTGGGGATGTTAAAGAGAGCGCCACATTAATAATCCGCATGATCCTCTCTTACACTCCCTTACAGCAACCATGGCGATGACCTGACTTTTTATGGGCCGTAAGCATGGATGGCTTTTACAAAGCGGGGGGTTGAGGGGGGCGAAGCCCCGCCATTTGCAAACCTTCCCTTACAGCAAACATGGTGATGACATAATGCTTTTTCTGTATTGCAAGCATGGACCGCCTTTAAAAAAGCGCTTGGGTTGGAGGGTCGCGGCCCCATGGTTATGACATGATGCTTTAAAATAAGCAGTTATGGCTTTCGGGGGTTGGGGGAACCATCCCCAAGTTGGAAACAAGATGAGCTGCAAAGCCTTCCCATACTGCAAACATGATGATGACATGACTGTACCGTAAGCATGGATGGCTTGAAAAAGCAGGGGGTTGGGGGAGAAGCCAAGAAGCCAGGAAGAAAGACAAGAAGCCAAGAAGCAGAAGAAGCCAACAAGCCACAAAGCCCAGAAGCCAAGAAGCGAGCAAGTGGAAATGCCAAGAAGCCGCAAAGCCGAGAAGCCAAAAAGCTGGAGAAGCCAAGAAGCCGGAAGCCAAGAGGCAGGAGAGACCGGAAAGCCAACAAGCTAAGAAGCCAAAAAACAAAAATACAAAAAGGAAAAAACTTTAAAAGCCAGCACTCCATTGCAAATTGCTGGACTCAGAGTTTTAGGCTTCACCCCCTGCGATTAAAAGGATGGGAGCTTGAAACGGATTATGCCTGCTACTCTCAGTTGACAGCTAGTCATGAACGTGAATTCGGGCTCTCCCACCACGCAGCCCTGGAGTAAAACAGCCCAACTTTTGCGAGACTCGCAGAACTCAGTAACGTCCAGTGACAGTGGCCTGGAAGCGAAGGGGGCCATTCCTAAGGAGTGGCAGGATAGTCGGTTCAATATATACTATAGTAGTTTCCATTTTCTTTTCCATTATCCCTATAAAACCCCAATATACTACAGTAGTTTCCATTTTTCCAGTATCTCTATGTAACCCAATAATTCTGTCGGCCAGGGGATGCAATTGAAAGACAGCCTTTCAGTCCCGAGGATGGTACGCTCCCGTCTCCTGGACATCAATACTCCCCATGAGGTCACCTTAAATGACAGGCGGTTGATGCCAAGAAGTGGTGAAAGATGGCTCCCTCGCCACTGCCCCTGCCTGCATCATCCGCGGACGAACCAAGTGGTTGAGGGTCGCTGGGTACCCTCAGCACAATTGTGTTCTGGTGCTTGCCGTCTCCCGCTCACGAATCCACTCTTGCTGAAAGATCCCTGGGATTCCCTGGCAAACAAGTTTCGAAATCCTAAACTAGATCCCCCTCAGGCTTCAGAAGCCCGAAGAGGCACAGCCAGTCCCCTCCTGACGAGCGCCCCACAGTGGCTTCGCCAGGCCAGGTGGCGGTGCAGATGCTTTCCTGAGGGAACTTACAATACTGTACCCATGGGCTTATTCAGGATTTCAGTAGCACGCAGCTGTGTTTCCATGGTTTAGGACTTATGCAAGGTTTAGATAGCTTTTCAACAATGACCCAATCATCTCATCTCTTCGCTGGTTGACAAGAAACTATAATGAATCCTAGCGACATGCCCTGGGGCAACCTAATCCGTGATCCCGATTAACAAAAACCCCCTACAGTAGATTTCAAGAACATTTTTTGGACCAAATTTGGGGTCAAAGACAAGTTTAAATAAAGGTAGAGGCATTGCTTGGCCAAAATAACCCTAGATTACGGAAAATTATCCCCAAACCAGAAGTAAATAGGCTCCTGGTAAGTTTATTGAAACCTAAATCTGGGGCCCTCTACCCTAATCAAACCTAAAACCTGTTCTGTAGTTCTAGAAAAGTATTAGTAGGGACCTGCTAACTCTAGGCTTCAGCTTATACTTTACAATCAAAAAATGTGAGCAGCAGAGAGGGTTTTGAAATCTGATTTGCTTAATAAAACTCATTTGGAAGTTCAGGACCAATTGATTTTAATTTGAGTCCTATTAATTTTACTTGGAGTCCACTCAGATTTCTATGGATTTTAAATTAGATGTCCATTTCCGTCTGGCATCAGAATAATGGGCCCTGTATTTTTAATTGGGGAGGGAGGGTTGGCCTTATAAATCAGGAGCAGGGATTAGTCTTGGGGTTCCCTCATTGAGCCACAGCATGAGGTCCCTGACACGATGAAAATAAAGAAATGCAAAATGATGGTGCAATGAACCTAGAAGTCCTTGGCCGTTCCGGCTCCTCACAGAAAAGCCCTATACCGAGCCCAGGCCCCGCACTCCAACGCATCCTGTAGCTGCTCAGCGAACTGCACAGACACATCATGGGAGCAAGGCCCATCGTTGCTTTCACTGCTCTTCTGCCTCGTTCGGAGCTTGGTTGGCACCCGGCTTTGGCATCCTGAGCCCAGGAACCCAGGAGCTCTAAGATTCAAAGAGAAATCAAAAGCTCAAGTCCGGCCTGCTGGCATTCATGGCACTTGCTTGACCACCAAGAAGGTTCTGTGTATCTTCCGGGACTGCGCCAGCCTGGGACGTAGCATCCCATCAAAATTCATCAACACACAAACTCAACCACAACCCGGTGTTACTCCATGTTCCAGCTTGAGTCCACTACCAACCCACCACGTACGCCAACTGGATCATCCTGCAATGTGCGCGGGATTTGAGGTTCAAAAATTATGGGTTCACGGGGCTCGATAAGGTTGCCTGAGGTCGCATTGGTGCTCCAGGCCCTTGCTTTGGAACTTGCCTGAGAGGCAAATGCTGTGCGAAAAAAAAACAACTTGATCAAAGAAGTAGAGATAAGAAAGCCACTGTGGAAGCTGGGGTGGAGCTTTTGCAGGGGCTTTTGCCCCGGCCGGCCTCAAAACGAAACAATGCATCTTCTGCAAGCTACACGGCGTGCTGACAGACTGACGGACTTGAGGTTCAGACACGGACGGGTTGTTGCCCCCTTGTCGCACAACAGCCTTCAGAAGCACGTGCATCGCTAAGCCAGGTTGAATGAAAAAAACTGTGTTTAATCCGCACCCAAGGGCTCCAACAAAAGAGCTGAGCTATCTGCAAGGCGGATGTTGCGGTGACTTTGCAATTCCTGCATCGAATCAGAAGTTGCTGCTGCACCAGCACCAATGCTGTAGCTTCTACGGCTGACACGGTTCTACATCGCAACTTTGCTGCAGCCATTTGAGAGTAGTGTTCTTCCATCATCATCCAAATCAGTGACTCAATAGGAGTCGACAGGCGGCCTAAAAGAAAAACACCGGCCTGAAAGAACGACCCAAATGGGAAAGCAATAGCCGGTGCATTGGTCCTCCATCATCTTCGCGTGGTCTCCTACAGCATTGAAGACTCGCGTAATTGCCTCAGGCAATAGAGCAGCCATTTCCAATCGGTTCAGCATTTCAAGGCAGCCTGTGACACTTGATAGGTGCGGTGCGTCTCCACTTCGAACTTGGAATGCGGAGCACACAGACCTTCGGGCGCAGCAGGTCCCTGCACTTGATTACACAAGAATCCTGACTGAGTCTGTTGCTTGTTCCATGCATCCACAGCTCCTCCCTCAGACACTTCGTTCACCTGCAAATGGGCAGTCGCTTCATTTCTCTGGACGGACTGTGTGCGTCTGCCGCTGCATTCCACACCAAAGATTAAGCAGTGTGCCCAAAGCACTGCCACGTCATGCATGGTGACGGGAAGGACGCTGAGCCCAAGCCTTCATCAGATTTGGCTGCAGGATATCAATTGTGTCGAATGTGGAAAAAGCCTGCCTCATCCCTTCATGCCTCTGTAAGTAGACCTGCAATGAAGGCAGCACTACGAACAACTTCCAAGCACAAAACTGCAGCAAAGTCCACACTCCGTTTGCCTCAAAGGTAAAGTGGCTGTTTGGATCTCCCTGCGCGTTTGGCACCGCGGCAGGAGGCTGTGCTGGCTGGGCCTGTTCCAGGGTTCCCTTTGTTTGTATACAAAAGCTGGAGCGAAGAAAAAGTCACTGTCGAATTACTGACGTCATGCAGATGCCACGCCTCTTCCTTGGTCTGGAGCTTTGGTGCCGGATGCTGCGGGGGTTGCGACTGTGGTGTCACCATGGAGCGCATCATAGATTGCTGTGCCTCGGCATGGCAAGTGTCCAAACCCACCGAGCATGCCTATACCTAGGTAATGATCGAGAAGATAGGGCCTGCGCCAAGTTGGGAACATCTGGCCTGCAGCATTGCTGAAATGAGGGCGCAGTCGAAAGTTGTGTAAAAAAACACTGGGCTGGATGATTGCAGTTATCATGTTTTGAAAAGGGGGCAAAGAGATCGTTATGTTTCCAGAAGTTCTGGAGCTGGGCAGGAGGAGAAGGGAGAGGGGCAACTGTCGGCAGTGTTTTCTGCTGAGGTGCAGTGTGGGGGAGTGATGCTTTAAAGACCATTCCACAGTAATCTACACTAAGCAAAACATTGCTCCGAAATTGCAGCAAGCAACTTGTTTGAATAAGATAACTAAATCACTTAGGATGTTTCTTTCCGGGACTCCAAAATCTTCGTGTACCTAATTCAGCCTAGAATTGAGCCCTACTTGCGCTGATGATGCTCGCGTACAGGGCGCGACCCGTACGCGAGCACACCCTGTACGCTGGCATCGTCACCACAATCGCAGATCTGCCTGGGAGTCACTCAACGATATCTAACATGTAGATTCAAAGGAGGAATGATATCAAAAAAACAGTTTGGACAGTAACTTATCCCATTTTCTGGATGCCAGGGCCAGGCCAGTGCCAGAAGCCCTAGATTTGGGGACGGTGAAAATGAGCGGAAAATGCCTCCATTATTTGGGGAGCGGGCAAAGTAATGGAACAGAAATAGCTCGGGCCTCCATTGTCTATTGTTTTTGGAGGATAGAGAGGCGGTATGGATGGAAGATGGTTGGGCCTCCGGTACTTGGGGAGGGGCGAAACAATGCACGAGAAATGGCTTGAGTCTCCGCGCGCGTCCGGGCTGACACAGTTGACACACCCTCAACCCTAAACCCATGCACCATCTACGCATCTTTATCTTGGCATCCATGAAGTAAGGCTGGTGCGGAGTCTGCGGCTGCTGAGATCCTCGGGCTCCTGATTCCGCAAACTCGCAAACTGTGAAAAACCTCCAACCTGAGCCTTTTCCAACACGTCGCATTGTTGCTGACTAACCACACGCCTGGTGGCGCATTGCCTCCCGCCACTCCTGCACACAGATGCCCAGCATATGTGAAGCCCCATGCGCAGCCCGTGCTCTGAGAAAAAAACTTGAGAAAGAAAGAGAACGAGAGAGAGAGAGAGAGCGGTCCTTCCGTGATGACCTGCTCTTCCTGCGGGCCAAATGCACCGTATGTTGCACCCGTTGCATGACTTGAAAGCTGAACACCAAAGACAGCTAAGAAAACCGCCTCACCAGGGAGTCCAGGTGCCTGGAGCCAGGTGAATCATGAGTCCAGAGTCAGCTGTTAGCCACTGTCAAGAAGTATGCAAACAGCAAGTTCGAAAGGTCTTAAAGCTGCCTGTGAAGGTTCTGCTTGATGAAACATGCTGTGTTGTGTTAAATCTGGTGGAGCAGCAGCCGGCCTGCGAACCATCCGTCATGAGTCCTTGGTCGCATCTCCCAGAAAGCATATCTAAAGGTTGCAGGCTCTTCCAGGCAAACTTGCGGCCTTTTACTGACCAAGTATATTCAGTCTGTGGACCTCCATGGATGTTGAGGCAGTGAAAAGAATCCAAAAGCCGAGGACGGCACCAAGCTGCTGCTGCAACTGCGCAATTTTTTGCTGCAGCTGCAGAGCTTGTTTGCCTGCAGGGCACCGCAAGAGCACAGCCAAAAAAGATACTTGTTTCTTGCTTCGAACGCAACATCTTGGGTTGACATTACTTTGCAGCTTTTCGCAGATTTCAAATCCCTTGGCTGTGGCTTGCTGGATCGCCTTTCGCAATCTGCGTCACAACAATTTGGAGGCATCGTCTTACGATTGACCGGTTGCACCGCAGAACACAGAAGTCACATCCTATTACGGCGTTGTTGCGTGAAAGATCGTTTTGTCAGTCCCTCCAATTGTTGCCACATTCGCCTTTGGCAAGAATCGTGTTGTTTTTTTCAGGCCTCAAAGATTTAGGGTGTTGCATCCAAGGCGTACAGGTATTGTACAAGGTTAACAAGGGCAATAGGTTGGACTACTGCAATATATTAACCACACTAGTCGGTGTTGCGAGTCACGAGCAAGTTTCACAGGACATCCCCATGCAGGTTTCTTCAGTCTGGTTCTGCCAAGGCACTCAAAGCATTGATGTTCATTGGCATCTGCGTCGGATTCCTCGCAGCTGGCAGCTGCAGCACACGTGAGCAAGATGAAACACTGATCGACTGCAGGTTCACCCCAGCTCAGCAAAACGTGTGTGAAGCAATCTTGCAAACTAGTGGCTGGGAATGTCTGTGCTTCCCTCACAATTGTCCCGCCTCCCATGCCCACAGTATCCTTGTGAAAGCCTGATTGCCCTTGCTCATTGCTTGCTGCTTGCAAAAAATTCTCGGTGCCAGTGGACCCTGAAGGAAATCCCTTGAGTCCTCTGCATCTGGGATGCTGCCGCTGAAGGCATGTTGCCCACACGGTCCTGCACGTGAACTTTAGAGCTATGCTTCCGTAACGGGGCATGCGAGAGGCATGCGGCATGCCGGGCCATAACGGGCTGGTTGTCGCCGAAGCCGGGAGCCCCTGCTGAAGGTGGAAGGGGCGGTGGCGGCGGAGGCAGCATCAGAACCTTCGCCTGATCGAGCTTTGCTAGCCAGAGCCCGCAACAAAAGACTTGAAGCTTCTATAGATGTGGCCTGCGACTGCTGCATAGCTTGCTGCTGTTGTAGCTGCTGCTGTTGAAGTTGCAGTTGCTGCTGCAACTGTGCCAAGCCAGACCTGATGGCCATGGAGAGCAAATGACACCACGCAAAGACATGAAACTCTGAATTGCCAAGAGGGCCATCGTAAGGCCACAGCTGAATTCCGCCCATGCTGTTGTCTCCCATACCACATCCACCACATCCAGAGAACTGGCCACAGCTTCCACCGCAGTTGTTGCATCCTCCGCATCCACAACCAGCCCCGCATCCGCAGCCACAACCACTGCAGCCACAGCCGCCACATCCACCCCCACAGCCCACGCCGCAGCAGCCACCACACCCACAGCAACCGCCACACCCCCCTCCACAGCCACATCCACCGCAACCTCCACAGCAGCCCGAATTCCCGGCGTTGCGGCACCCTCCACAGCCTCCTCCACAGTTGCAGCCGCCACAACCCCCTCCACAGCCACTTCCAGGCCTGAGCAAACACATTGATCTTTACTGCAAATGTCATGCGATTGCACGCAATTGCACGCAATTGCACGCAGAGCACGCGGCATGCCCATAGACTGCCTGGCCAAGGCCTGGCCCTGCATCAACCTCAAAAAGCCCCATCTCGGAATGACATCCAACCACAGCTCGAAATATTTCGATTCCAAGGCCGTGACAACGAGTCCACGTCTGCTTGATTCTGGGCCTGGAACTGATGCGCACACTGAAACGAGATGTCTAGCTGCATGCTGTGTCACGTCACATGGGCCTGAGCGCCACATGCCCCCTCGCCGCCAGTCTGCCTCTTGACAGAATCTATCAAAGAGCACAGCTCTGAACGCGCAGGGATGGTAAAAAGAAACACTGTTTACAAAAACAAGTGTGTTGGTAAGGTGGCCGCGTGTCCGAGAGGAATGGGGCTGTCTGGCTCTGGACCTGGCGAGGCTCGTCCGAGCGCCCAGGTTTTGAGGAACCATGCAAGGGCTGGGTGTAGGACCTTCCAGCCATGTCTGCCCAAAGCTCCAGCCTAAGCAAGAACGAACAAGGCTGGGTTGTGAAGCTTTACTAGATCCACAGGGGTCCCTGCATCCGCTTCCGCAGGCTGCGATGAGCCCCCCCTGAGCCACGTTGGTGATGTTGAGTCAAGCAACGAAGCGCTGAACACGTACCGACATAGCAGCTATAGCAACTCCAAAATACTCCAAAGAGGCCGCTGCCCAGCCCAGCTGCCTGGCGCATCCTGCAAAGGGCCAAGTGATTTGGTTCACACTTGCGTCGGAGGCTCGCGTGGGAATGACGTGCCAACCTGGAAGTACGGTGGCGGAAGCAGGTTAGGTGCTTTGGATGGTGCAGCATTGCCTGCGCAAGCCAGAATGACATTCAGCACAGGCAAATGTAAGCACAGCGGGACCAGCACTGCGCACAGCTTTTCATGTTGGCCTGTATTTGTTGTGGTTGGGCCTGGTCACGGGAAGCATCCCATCACGTTGCAAGGACACCCCTTGAGGACAGGCCTGCGCAGTATCTTCTCACTTCAAGTCGGATGGTAGATGCCTGATGCAAGGCTCCAGTGATGCAGTCCATTCCACTAAACACATGTCTTTGTGCAGTCATCCAGGCCTCCATGACTTTCCCGGCAATCGCCGGCATGTGATGTGCCAACGGGCCATCGGCCTTTGCACAGTTGCCGAGTTGCCACCAAGATCACCAAAGCACAGAAAAACTTGCAGCTAAGAGACATTGACGCCGTTGACCTTGACTACCAAGTCGCCTTCCTGTATTCTGTAGCCCTCGGGGCTTTTCCTCGGTATGCAAACAAATGAACAGACAGTTAGGTAAGGCCCTCTGCCTTTGCACTGCAGGCATTCAGCATGCCACTTGTTGTATGCATCCACAGCCCCTCCATCAGCTACCTCCACAGGAGGAAGCTACTCACTGTGCAAGAGTGCGAGCCAGCTTCAGCAATCTGCTGACATTAAACGGAAGCGACAGTTCCTGTAGCTGCCTTCTCAACCACTAAGCCCTCTCTGTCAGGCGTATTGACCTTGCCAACCAATCCGTTCTCCAAGCTACCACTAGCATGTCAAAGAAAGCAGGTGTCTATTCGAAGGCTGCGGCCAATGACAACTGGATGCCTAAGCGAGATCCAGCTGGCTTGGGAAACTCAGCCTGGTCGAAGTCATGCTGCAAAGAATCGACTTGCCAAATGAGAGAATGCATGCTTGCCTCGAAGGTGTGGATCATGGGCCCTCACAGCTTCAGACCACATTGACGCAATGCAACACAAGCTCTGACAACCTGGTCCCAAGATCCGGGCGACGCCCTTAAACACGTGGCGTTGAAATGGCGATGCAAGGCACGTAGTGTGACCACGTGACCGACTAAACCCCCTGGACTCTGCAAGTACTTCTGTACAATCGGTCAAATGGAAGAGCTTCGTGTTGCAGAGGCACACGCCGCAGTCAGTAAGTAAACTGTTACGCAGTGCTACACTTGTTGCGTCTGTAAGTTCGCTTCATGATCGCTCAACCAAGGTTGATGCGTCTGCATCGGGCCAGAACAAGAGCCGGAAGATACGCTTTGACCAAGTCAGATGCCATGACTCTTCATAACTTATAGCCTCCAATATACTACGATCCCCATTGCAGGGACTGACAATTACTACTGGAACTTCTATTCCTCTGCCGCAAACCCGCAAATGGCTGTTATCATTTCGTCTCGTACCATGCATTTGAATCTATTTCACTGCCAGCACTACCACTACTACCATTACCCTCACGAATATCTCTACAACAGCCACTGCTGCCATGATGTCTTATCCTTACTCTCTCAACTACTTGCCGTGTCCCTAGAGTGCTTCTATCCTTCTTCTTATTCAAATCTGTCGAGTCCCCTGGTTAAATGCAAAGCAAAAGGCTCACAGAGCTGGCAGCGTCTTCAGCGAATGAGGCCATCTTGGCCCCACGGACTTTGCACCGGTACAACAACGGATGCCAATTGGAATTTGGTGTTGGGGTGTTTGTGTTTTGGGGCTTATGAGGGGAAGCCATATTTGTAGAGCTCTCAAGCGTTTGCTCAGTATCTTGCGATGCAAAGGCCGCTTCTGCACTTGATCATGTATGCACACACCGGAAAATCCAATGCAAATGCCCCATGCAGATGCGCTCTGCTACGTGAGCGTTGCACGTGAGAGGTGCGGGGAAACTGCTCATTTCTGGGTCTTTATGTACATGCCGTACATGTCCACTTGGTAGGATGCCTTGGGCACCCTCCCTGCAAGAGCTGAGTAGTGCTTTTGTTGGTGAGTGAACAGAATTTTAGGCCAATTCTTCATGAATCTGTGCAACCATGACAATGCTACACAAAGTTAAAGTTTGCTGCGGACTGCAGCATGTCCACAAAGAATGCTACTCAGCTGAGCTTTGCGGAGGATCAAGGATCGAAGGGTCAAGCACGCCACCGTGCCGATTTGGGACCACCTGCCTGGGATCCAGAATCCAGATGATGAACGGCCCTCTTCAAGGTAGGCTCTTCCCAAGCAGTTCCCGCCTTGGCTTGCCCTCCCCACGATGTCCGGACTGCCGACAGGACCAACGGCAATCACACACACTTCAGCTCAAAAATCGAATAATCGAAACTTTCTGCTTGATGCCCACCTGGGCGGGCTCCTGCCGGCTTGCTGCTCGCCTTAGTCTGCCAGAATCCCAAGTCACTTGCTCCATGAGTCTAATCGGCGCAAGCAGCATCAGCTTGCAGGTCGGAATTTTGAAGCCTTGCAATCCTTGCACTTGCAGCCACTCACGCCAAGGACTTCCCTTTCGTCTCTGGCCTGACAAGTATCATCAAATTGCGGTGATAAAAGAATTCAACTTCCGATATCAAAAGCCTGAGGGGAGGGCACAAGAGCCACACCGAAAACAGTTGCGATGACTAACACAACTGCCTGCAAAAAGGCAACTTCACCGCTTCACGTATGAGCCGCATCTTGACCGAGCTGCAGACCAGCAAGGACAAGAAGATTCGAAACTCTTCTGGGGTACCCGGAGCACCACGCGTCTCCTGGCAAGACTGCCTTCAATTTTGCAAAGGTGTTGGACTGAGCACAAGCATCATCAAGCATCGTTGATGATGAAATCGTTCAGCCTGATTGTTATGATGAGTCGCAGGTACTGGGCCCTTGGCGCGCCTCTATTAGCGCGGGAGCTATCAACGCACCCACACGGCCACAGGTGCCGGAAACTGAAAGCGCGGAGACTCGGATCACGGAGGGGAAGAGTTCCGCCTGAGGGCAGAGCTGATGTCTTCTTTTTCGATTCATGATTGGCACAAATCTCCCACCTTCACAGTGCTAACCGTCTGTGAGTAAGTCCTTATGGCTCTTCACTCAGCATTCGAGGTGGTTTTCACAAAGAGTAGGCTGCCGGGCACCATGGTCAATTTAAGAAGGAAGATCCCAAACACTGGAAGGAGAGGCACCTCAATCCAGAACTCTGATATAAGGTGCATGGATGCCAGAAGCTTCTTGCAGCTGCAGCACGCCACTGATCAAAAGGCAGACAACGGCCAAAATCTCCACAACTCCACCAAAAACCAGGATCTGACGAAGCAGCACGTCAGCGCAGTGAGGCGCACATTTCTGCTGCACAGTCTAGTGTCCCTACACGTCCCTGCCTCGTTGTAGCCATAATCAGACTTGAGTGCCTCAGCTGAGCTGCAAGCAGCCGAAGGGTGAGAGATTGATGGCAAGCCTGGCCTGAAAGGCAATGTACAGGGCAGGGAAAGCCACCAAGTTTGCAAGAACAAGCTCTCCGACCTGAGCCCAACATTGGGATACCATGTGGGAGCTTATCAAACTTGATCTTCCTAGAGCGGACGCAATATCGGGAATATCGGGATTAGCATAAACAAGAGTAACTACCCATGTCGATGACAAATGGATCCTATCTTTGATTCGAAGACGCAAGGTGCAGAGGTCTGCAACATGCAGACTCAAAATTCTGTAGACATCACTCTCCGGGAGGCACCCTTTCAGACTACCGAGATGCACACCGGCGGTAGCGGCGCGCCTTCCGCCAGCTCAGAGATGACGAGTGGAAAAAAGTATCCTTCGGCTCCAGCGTTTCTCTGGAAGAAAGTTTGTTCTTAGATCACTTTTGCTGTTACGGCCAAGTGGCCACAGCCGAAGCCTGTGAAATTGTACGTGAAATCCAGCCTAGTGCGCGAAAGATGGCGTGCAGGCTCTCAAAGCGTGCAACCTGCTTGTAGGCTCCAGATTTTAGACATCACAGGTGCCAGGCATTGCGCTTCCCAACAGCGGAAGCTTGTAATCCTGGAAGCTTTGCCAGACAACCTCTCAGTAGAACAGACTTTGTGAATCCTGGCTTACTGGCCAAAACACCAAGTAAGACTGCGGATGCAGCTTCCGCGCTTGTGGTTGGCGTGCTGGTTTGTGGGTCCATAGGAGGTGGCTTCCACACAACCTCAGTTTGCGACTGATTCACATTGCTCGAGGCCCGAGGCATCCTGAGGCAAAGTCTGGGGAGCCGTTTCGCTTTGCCATTTTGCCCAAGACCTTTTTGCTACTGAAAGTGCAAGCACTCTACTGTAAAGCTATACTGAAGGACACAGACCCGTGAAACGTTGCCTGCATCACCCTGGCAAGCGGGAATCACTGAACCACTTAAACTACAGCGGACACTGGTGCAAGACTGACAGCTCAGCCTTGAGCATGTGGAAAACCGGAGAGTCCTGTCGGCTGCTGGAACAAGCTGCCCCACCAACGTTGGTCGTGCAGGACAGTGCCTCCAACTCCATTAATGCGACAGGCAAAGCCTGTCATGGATCTGCTAACAGGATTTTCAAATCAATGCGTCGCCTGGGGCCACCACCAGAGCGGCTGGAATAGCTGACCAAGCACACAGGCCTAAGCTGGTCGAATAGCTTGACAGACCACATGAGATATGAATTCCTCAACTTATTTCCTAAGGATGGCACTGCGCCAATCCCCGGATTTGAGATCAGGCAGGAAAAGGTAGAGTCCAAGGTCCTTGGACTCAGCTTGGCCCTGCGGGCCTTGCCAATCGAAACATCCAGCTATGGGAACCCTGCTGCATAGAGCGCTCCAAGCCTCGGCAAAGCCATGCCATGCATGCAGCTGCTTGCAACATGTCCATGCTCGAAACTTTAATGTGGTTCTTTTGTTCGGGCTTTGGGCGCTTGGGCTTGGCCCGCTTGGTTCTTGCTTGCTTGACTTCATGAGACACAGTCCCTTTTGTTTTGCCTGGAGATAATTTTGAGAAAGGAAGCAAAACGCACAAACACGCAGCCCAGAACGAGACATTTGAAGAAAAAAATCAAGGAGCCCGTACCAACGGTCTCCAGCAGTGGCGGCTGGTCAAACAGTCCGGCATCTCAACATCAGTGCAGAGGAGGCACGCGATCGCTGCGTAGCAGATTCCCAGAAGCTGAGCACGGCCTTGAACAATGAATAGAAGCATCATGTCAGCATCAGGCTCTATTCACATCAAGCGGCTTTTGGCAGGAGCTATCTCAGCCTCTGTGAACTGCCAAGAGAAGCATTGCCTGCTGAGGTTTCCAAACTTCCAAGCTCCCTGCAATCATGGTCAACGAAGCCGGGACTCCGATACCAACCTCCACCACACGCAAGACTAGGAGCAAGCAAGCTGGAGGAAAGTGTTTTGCCAAGAAGCCGAAAACCCAGTTAGGGCTCTGAAAACACCAACCTCAAATCTGTCAAATCTGAAGTCTGAGGCAAATGAAGCAAAGCACCCCGGCATGCACCATGCTGTTGAGGCGATCTGAGGAGGCAGCCACTAAGGGCGACGGAGCACCAAACATTCCCCAAGACCTACCGCGACTTGCTAAGTATCCAGCAAATCCCATCCGCCTGTCGGCTCAATTTTTCTCACTCGGGAACAAGCCCGATGATGGCGCCCAAGTAGCCAACAAGAATTGGTACACGTCGCCTGTGGCTGACGTCACGGCAACAGTTTGGGAGGCAAGACTCCTGCAACTTAGTCTGACACCCAAATTGATCACCGAGCAGGCCAGACAGAAGCGTTCCGGCCTCAGCTGATCACGACTCCAAAGTCACAAATCGGCATCTGTCAAACACCAAGAGTATCTCAAGTCATCTCAAGTCGCGGCTGCAAATCCGAGGTATCCCACAGAAGCCAGGAGTGCCACCTGAAATCCATGCAGTATGCGGCCCACTGGGCTTCTGCACAACGAGCATATGATAGCATATGTAGAGGTCATGCGTGAGCCTGGTCAGTCACCAGTGCCCATTCAAGCCGCCATGCTGTTGTCAGAGGTGAGATCACCTTCACAGGATGCTTCGGTTTATCAGCATACAACATGTCATACAACTGGCATTCCAAGTAAGAGTCGGACATCTAGTTCTGCCGCTTCACCTGATTCAGTCTCTTTGGTGTCGAGCAGGCAGTCTTCAAATTAAGGAAGAATGGACCCTCCTGCAACCAAGTCACTGAAGAAGAAGCAAGCCAGAAGAAGTGCCTGGAGCGCAGAAGATGTCTGCATCACGCGACTCACGGAACAAATGTGCGTGGCAGTCGGTGTCCTGCTGCACCTGATACTGACCTGATCCAGCTTCCTCAATAAAATCGAGCACCGCCTGCGATTTGTAGCACCGCACACAAGCTGCATGCAAATCCAACACGTGCCTGCTGCTGAGAGGAATTAGATTGCCCGGATTGCTGAAGGGCTTGTCTGTGCCTGCCGCTCGTCAGGGACGCACGGCATGCGAGCAAGCATTTGACCAAGGAAAGCCATTACAAAGAGAACTTACAGCCCCAAAAGCACTCTGCCGCCCATGCTCGTCCGCTTACCACATGCCAAACACCCGCTTTTGCCCTCAACGACTAAAAAAGTAGCTTCTCAACCTGACTGATGCGCGCTAAATTCTTGCGAACCCAACAACCCAGAACCTGAAATCTAAACGTCCACACCCCAGGATGAGCCTAAAGCCAACACCTGTACCAACAAGCACACGCGCCATGAACCTTGATACTTGCCCCAGAAAAGCCATCTGAACACCACAACCTTGGACCGGGTGCAAGCGTCAGCGTCAAGGGAAACCCTGCACCCTGAAGCCTGCACAGCAAAAAGCCTGAATTCCAAGTACATGAACGGAAGATTGACCAACGCTCCACCAAACCAATGTTCCACCATTTGCCTGACGTCTCGATGGTAGGGTGAAATGAGGGAGAAAACTGCTGACTTCACTACAAGCACTACAGACATATGTTCCATTATTCCAATCTAACCCCAACATAATCCCTGATCCCAATATAACCCCAATATAATCCCTACAGGACACGACACCTTGGCAACCTTCTTGAAGAACTTGCGGCGACACCCAGAACTCCACCTCCCGCCAGTGCCAGGGACACCTGAAAGATGACTGCGCATGAAGCCGAGGGCTCCACTGCTTTGCCAAAAACTTGGCTCATAGCAAAGTATCAGACAAAAAACGGTAGCAGAGATAGTAAAAACCCTCCCCTTGCCTCAGAACACGGTGCTGCCGTCACCTGACTTAAGTGCAAGGGCACGCACCATCATGGATGCAGCAATGATTCAAATGATGTCTCCACATGTTGCCTGTCTGGGCTTCACGGTGGCGTGCCATACCGGCAGCGCTCGCAAAGTAGCGCAGGCTCGCGCCTGCGAAAGGAAAGCAGCCTTCAGCTCAGCTCAGCAAAGCACTGAGACTCTGAGGGGCTCGCGCGCCGCGAGCTTAGCGAGCTCACAGTTTGTGGTGCTTCCATGGGAGATAGCGGACCACTCAAGTTGCAACCGCAGCGCTACTAGAGCAAGTTTGCAATTGTGAGTCGTGTGTGCGTGAATTGCTGGCTGAGAGAATGCTAGAACATGCTAAAGTGATCGACTTCGTTCTGAGCTTTGAAGAGTCAAGCAGCTGCCCAGGAACAGAGAATCTGCTCAAGCACGAGCAGCCAACTCAGATGTGTGCCTGCCGAAGACACTTGCCTTACATTGGCTGAGCTCCGTACCGATCTGCAGAAAGTAAAGGATTCGGCACCAACTTCGCTGATGGCTGTTTGCTGCAACACTCTGCGCTCCAGCAGATCAAGCCAGTGCTGCTGCTGCCTAATCTGGCTATATTGCAACTGCTCTGCTGGGGCACGGATGGATGGATGCTTCTCCTCGCGCTTCTGAATCTCCCGGAATGCCTCATCCATGTTGCTCTGGACACCTGGGGTCTCAAGCAGCCCTTCTGACGTATGAGTGGAACTTCCTTCATCTTGAACTTCCTGACCATCCGTTTGTCCCGATGATGATTCAGCGGAGTCATCCAGCCCAGCTGCCTCTGCTGGGGGTTCGCTCGCCTCATCGTCGTGCGAGCTCACAGCAGACAGGGCAGAAGAGAAGCTGGTCCGAACCTGCTTTGGTACTGGCACGGGCAACATCATGGGCCCGCCACTCTGAAGAATGGTGTCAGGCAATGGAGCTGGTTCTTCTGCAACAGGGTCGCCGTGCAAGCAAACTCTCATGAATTCTTCTGCACGGTCCTGCGATGGAAAGCCTAAGACCAATGACTCTGGAACGGGCTGGGGCTCCTCAAGGCTGATCTTCCGTGGAAACGGGCGTCTCATTGGGACCACTGGACGCCGCGGCAGCGTAGGTGTAGGGATGCTGGCAGTTTGTGGCACGCTTACTGAGATCTGTTGAGCTTTGTAAGCATCTTCCTCCTGGATCGGGGAGTCTGTCCTACCCGCTTCGTCCATGATTTTGTCGAGCTGCTCTTTGATGCCGGGAGGGAAGCTAGGCCACTCATCACCAGATGCAGCTTCTGTCCTGCACAGGGAAACAAGGATATTCAGCTTTTGAATGCATTGGCAATGCTGCTTTGCAAGCTCAGCTGAGTCCCGCTCCTGAGCAACAAAGGCGGTATCATACCAGACACACCGAGGACACGTCTCACAGCTGGAGCTTTGCGCTGTGCCGGCTCCGAAGGCTTCTGAAAGGCTTCTTGCCAGGATGTCAGAAGAACATCGCGCACCTGCTTGCTGTGAGGGCTGAATGTCTTCTCTCGCTGGGCAAGTGTGGGACCTGCCGGCAGTCCTCGAAAGGGTGCAAGATACTCGTCACCAAGCCTCCACACCTCTTCACGTTCACGTTGTCCAACTGCAGTGGCAGGCCGATCGAGCTTTGCCGCGACAAGGTGGGCCAGACTTCCAAGTTTAAGCTTCCTTGCTGATCTCTTGGCTCGGTCATGCTTTGTGTCCCAGAGCTGTGCCCGTGAATCACAGATTGCAGACGAAAAGCGGAATGCGGTGGGCTCGCTGAGTCCGTGCATCCCACCGTACGACAGGGTGTATCCCATCTTCAGGCAAATACCGCATTCAACTACGAAGCAACTGCTAAAAAATGGAAGGACTTCAAACATCTTCAAGCAATGCGCAACCTTGAAACGAACCCTTTATGGGAAGACTGGGACTTTAGCTGCAGTTGAAACTGTTCCCTCCTGTTACTCTCTGCTTCATGTACCACTTCAAGATGCCATGACATTGCCAATGCCAATTGAATTGTTTCGTTGCATAATTTCAGGCGCGAGTGCAGGTCGCAGCTGCAGAGGGGACAAACTTCCAGGAACGCAGCAAATGTTGGGGCACAAAGGCGGCAGCTAGGCAGTCTCATAACACACTGTGAGCCTCGATGTAGTTGTAAATCGCGCGAAGTTGCTCCAGACTGGCCTTGGGCTGTCAGGACCCTCACCGCATCCGCAACAATTCAGGCTGCACCAGGCTGCGCACTGGATCAAGCTCGGGATTGACAGCTGCTGCAGCAACAACCGCCTTGGACTTCCCTACTCATCTCAGCAAGAACAGCTGCTGTTGTGTTTGGGCCCCACCTGCCAACGAGCAGGCAGGTCGTCTGCACTTCCAGCTGATTCCGACGCTGGAAGGCCCTGGATGCAAAGCACTTGGCAACACTGCGGCCCGCCAGGTACTGTGAGCAACAAATGTTTGGCAGACCTTCTCGGCAGCCACCGTCGCTAATCGACTGAGCGCCTCGGCAACTGGCAAATGCCAGCAGCTGATGCTAGCGCCTCTGTGAAAGACTTGAACTATCTTGAACTGCAGCACCCGGCCTCAGCCACCTGGTCGCTGCCATAATGTAGGTCCGGCATCCTCGGCACTTTTCAGTGTGTGAAAGGTCTCAGGCTTCCAGGTCAACAAGAAACTCCAAATGCCTGCAGCACCTGCAGCGCAGGACCGTAGACCACGCGGCTTTGCGGTGGAAAGCAAATGCGCTTCCGCGCAAGTTGAAGCTTAGACTTGGCTGAATTTAGCTTCTCTAGAAAAGGATCAAGAGCAAACGCTTCGCACAATAAAGTTCCATGACTGACTGGCTTGTATCGCGTATGTTGAAGCTGAAGACAGCCAGCGCCAAGTCAGTGCACAAGCAAACGTATGTCTCGGCAAGATCAGCAGCGGCCATTCTGGTGAGCCTCTGTGTGGCTGGCAACTTCGTGAAGCAGCTAGCTGCTACCACAAAGGCAGAGGCAAAAAGTATCTTTGTCTACGCAGCCAATGGTCCCGACCGTCTGCAAGTGCTCAGATTACTGAGTCAGTTGGTAAGGCCACTTGTTGCGCTTTACTGAGGTGAGCTGTGGCCTGGGATGCATACACCAAGTTTCAAGTGATCCAGTGACTTGCATCACTTGACCGGTTGAGGGCAAGGCAAGGCTGCTACAGCAGCAATCCGAGTCCCTTCATCTTTGGCGAAGGTCTGGCATAAGGCTGCAATGTTTGAGCTACGGTCATCCAACTTGACTTGTGCTTTCATGGTCATCGGCCTCTGCAGACTGCTTTCGAGTGTCTCCATCAGATCGCACTTTGTCGGTCAAGGCACTTGCTGAACGCTCAGCCTGGCAGACTACAGTAGCAGATCACCTTCTCCGATGAAAGAGGCGCCGATACAACCTATGGCCTCCTGCACTCGTTGATCCACTTGTCCAATCAAATACTTGGCATGGCCGGCGAATCCTGCAACCTGCAGCAATCTCATGTCTCTCCCATGTGAAGAAGCGAAAGCACTGCCAAATCGGACATCAGTCGGGCCCTTGTTCTGTTTTGCGCACTGCGCTCCCAAGCACCATCTCGAATGCAGCAACACGGCAAGGCCCTTGTCTAATGCCAATCCACTGAGGCATGCCTTCAGTTTTAAAGCGATCTCCTCAGCACGGGCATGTATATAACGAACACGGTCGGAACCCAAGCCTTCAACAGGCGGCGCTTCTCTTCAAGAACTGTTTGTCAAGTCAGGTATGGCAGGGCTTGGTTCTCCGAGTGAGTATTGTCAGTACGGATGTTACAGGCCTGCCCATTAAAATTCATAAAGCAGGTCACTGTCCTGGAAGACTCGAGGAGGTGTCACCTCCGGCAGGAGATACGGGCAGGGGGGAAATTGCGCGTACAAACGCATAGGATGCAAGCAACTAGTGCTAGAGTTACTGGTTACAAGGGATTTCCCATTCTTAAAGTGCCATAGATATGGACATTTTTACATATATGTGTCCAGTCGTATGTTGATAAAAAATCACAAGTGTAGCACATATACACATAGGAACCTACGTGTATGAGTTTATCAAAATGACTCCTCTAGAGCTCTTTGGAGGGACCCTGCAATCCTCTTACAACCCCTATGCCTCCCTACCCTAGCCAGCCAACCACAGAACCATGTCCAAGGCCCAGGCCTGGAAGCCAAGCGGTCTACCAAGTTTTTCTGCGCTTGACGTGCAATGGAAGCAATAGCCTTTCAGGTACAGGAGCAGATGTAATGGCCGCTTGGATACTATCACAGACTGAGTAGTAGTGGTGGTGCTGATAGGGTAGTTGTCATAGCAGTAGTCGAAATAGCAGCAGCAATAGCAGTAGCAGTAGCAATAGCAGTAGTAGCAGCAGCAGCAGAAGTAGTACTGGTAGCGGTAAGTAGTAGTAGTAGTAGTAGTAGTAGTAGCAGCAGCAGCAGCTGGGCCCTGGTCCGCGTCCGGCCGTGGTGTATTAGTATGAACGCTTTATTTGTTGTATTTTTTGTGCTTACAACCTGCATTTTCGGTAGGAAACACGTGCATAGGCTTAGCGCTTTCAATACCGTCTCCAAAAAGCATCGAATTTTGGTTTCGGGTTTTCTGACGTTGACGCGCGCGCAACTACATTTTCCGCAACATTTTATCTGAAATGCTCGTGAAATTTCCCAAAGCAGCCTTTCCGAGTTTTCGCCCTTTTTTGCATTTTTCCGTTTTGCATTTCTCGTCGTTTGCCTTTTCGCATCGCACAACGTGCTCAAACCGGCAATTTCGGCACGTTCGAACTTTTTTCGCCGCTCATCCCCTAGCTCGTGCAGGTGGAGAAGTGCGAAACATTCCGTTTTTGCGAAATGTTTTGTTCGCTACTTTTCCACTGAAACCCCGAGCTCTGGCGCGCTCGCGCTTGTCTCATTGCTTGGTTTCAATGATCATCTCCTTGTTTTTGTGGGTAGGGAAATAAAAAAAGGTTCGTTCTTGCAATTTAGAACCCTGCCCGAATCATGATGACGTTCGTGTTCTAGTGCGTGCGATGACGAGAGCAGCCATGCCCAAACTACCCTAACCACAAGCAAATTTGCGTCCACGTAACAAAGACAAATATATATGTATATATATATATATGTCTATTTATTTCTTTATCTCTCTCGCTTCTTCAGGCGCTAAGGATGCCCTGCATCCGACCCCTGGAGCACAGCTCCGCGCCCCGCATGTCCGCGCAGGTCTCGGTCAGACCCCAAGGACCGAAGTTAAACCTGCCCCAGGCCGTAACCAGTACGCCAAACCCAGAAAAGTATCATTACCGAACGACTATGAGGACGTGGCTTCGGCCTAGGCCAAGTGTAACTTCCTACTCAAAGGGGCTTGCGAGACTTCCCTACACGAACGCCTGATGATAACTTCCATGGGGTTGGGGCCATGACTGGAAGGCTACGCCAAACCAACACAATTGATAACAAAAAACAATCAACATATCCTCATTCCCCATGTCCGTTGTCACATGCTGGCTGCTTTCAGGACTGCCGGGTGCTACTCATACGTTGTGCCCAGGGAGCATCGATCGGTTTACTGCGTCGATGTACCCTCAAAGCGATAAGATACTGGCAACACAAAACACCAATCACTGAGGCCTCGCCTCCCCATTCTCTCGTTCCTGTCTCCCAACCTCTTGCTCTGCTGGCGAGCTGTGGAGATGCAGTCACGGAAGTGGCACGGCTGCCATCCATGGCTGCAATCTTCCACCACGACTGGAACACTGAGTACAGCCCATTCCTTCTAGTTTTGCATGGGTGTAGCAGCTAGAACAGCTCTACAGGGGTCACGTGTCCTGGGGTAACTGTACAATGCACCAACACTGAGTTAAGTGTTTCGGGCGCTTCCCGTCGCTTTCTTTCTCTTCTGACTCTTGGACCCAGTGGTTTTGTTCACATGTTGACCAGGACTAGTCTCCTACGAATACATGCCACTGAAGCTCAGAGCTGAAAACCCCTGTTTTTCTTATATATCTCTCTCTCTCTCTCTCTCACTCTCTCTCTCTCTCTCTCTCTTCTTCTTCTGGCCAAACCCACCCCCTAAGACGCAGGTTGGGGCTACCCATGGCCGCGCAACGTCCATCAGCAGGCGAGGCCCTGGATACTGCAAATACAGGACTTCCAAATCTTCCCCCACATGATTCCCCCATTTGGACGTCCCATACTAGCTTCTCCACTATTCCAGCCTGTTGTGAGACTATATCTTTCTTTCTTTCATGAGAGCTTTGCGCAGGCCCGGAGGCCCACACGGGCTTCGATGCCCAGCCCTTGTTGGGCTGACCTGTTTAAGCTCACCCCGCTATGCCTCACAGACCGTTTAGTTAGGATACCACAATTTCTAATAGGGGTCTTGCTGCTGTGAGGACATACTCGGACTTCCAGCCACAATGCACTTTTGTCCAGTAAACCATGTAGGGGGAAAGTAAGGAATGCTTTGTGGCTGAGAGTGTTGGATGTGAAACGTTCAGAAATCGTGGTATAGGTTTGGCCTTGGGGGAGTTGTGTGAGTCTATATATATATACATATATACATATATATGTCTCTCTTCTCTCTTCTTCTTCTTCTTCTCACTGCTCTACCCCTCCACTAGGGAGGGGCCGGGGCAATGCCCCAAGCAGGGTGCAGTTCAGTCCACGAACACTGTGTCAGGCCCCGGTTACCGAGCATACATGGAAACGCGCAGAAGGTCAGCATCACAATACAGCCCCAATCAAATAACATTCCACAGCATGGTCATCTGCGCTTCCACATATGAACTTCACCGCTTCTGACCCCAGCTGTGAGAGCTCCCATCATTCCCGGCCCGTGTGGCTTCGGGACTGCGCAATGCGTGACGGGTTAACTGCTACTGGCTGAGTCTGCTGGCAGCGGATGGCCATTGATGCAGAAGTAACAGGGTACGGCCCACAGCTCAGAAGCATGAACCCTCCTAAATGAAAACCCAGTAGCCAAGCCTCGCGTCTTGGACCCTTCCGTCGCTCTATCTGGCGCTGGACGGATACCAGGCATTGACTCACAACCAGACTCAGCAAATTGTGGGCATGTGCGTAAGCAGGATGCAGGGCCGAGACAACAATACTCCAATACAACTAGAAAGCCCGTGCCGACGCAAAACCTCGGCTAAAGCAGCACTCTCGAAGACTGGTCACGTAGCGCATCCCACTTACAGGTCAAGGCCCTGTCATGGTTTTCTAGCCTACCCACACAGCCTTGGAGCGCATAACTTGTTTAGGGGTAACTGTGGTAGCAACAGCTTAAAGACAGTTTGGGGCGCCCCGTCCCGTCGGGCCTGTTCTTCTTTTCATTTTCTTGTTTCGGGACGACTTTTGGCCTCTGCCCCAGTGGACTTGGCCCAGCGGTCCAAGACTGCCCCCATCATTGCTGTATAACGACGTCACCAACAGCTTAAGGATTCCCCGACTATTCATGCAAAACCTCAAGGTTGGGCCTTTCAGCTCGCTCCTGGCCCAAAAGCGATTGTTGGTGCACTCAACGAAGGAAAGGCATTATAGCGTAGTCCCAGGACATGGCTACGAGACGGTTGCCAGCCAGAGCGACCGGCCCTCCTGAGTGGATTTGTTGCTGCCCCTTTGCCCAAAGCTTGGGCGCGCTCATGGTGCAAAAGCGCTCAAAAGCTCTTCTAATTATGTTGCCGCGGTTGTGATTCATCTAAGTCAGCAAACAAACAATCCCCACAAGATAACACTTGCAATCCTCTCCGGGCAACTGGTTCATGCACTCTTCCTGCTGCTAGCTTGGCACCCTGTAAGCATGACATGTAGTGTGGAGGAATAGGGGGAACAGTGTCAGGCAATACAGGAGCCCAGCGGTTTATCATGCTCGCGTGGGCGCGGGCTACACTCTTGTGCCTCAGGCGGGCTCGTGGCTCGGCTTCAGTGGGGCCACCCCAGGCTGTCGGTCTCGTCGTCCTCGTCGTCGGGCTGCGTTCTCCCTTCTGCTTGTTGTTGCTGCGCTCTGGCGTATTCTTCTTCGGCCTCCGTGATCTCGATTTCGCTCTGCAGGTCTGCATAGTACGCCGCTTCCGCTTCCTCTACCTGCCTGTGGTACTCGTTCTCCAGCCGCTGCCTCTGCCACCACTCGGTCTGCTCTTCGTCTTGGGTGGTCATGTTGTACTCTGTGCTCGTTGCCGCCTCTGGCCCTGCTCGACCATGTTGGCTCTCCATGGCTAGGGGCCGTTATAAGGTTGCCCCTGCCATGCTGCCTTCTCTCTGGCACTTGTTGTTCAAGCCTGTCCCTCGCTGCTTGCGGAATCCAGAGTCTGTAGGCCTCGATTGTCCGCTCCGGGTCCGGTTCGACCTCGCAGTGCTTGATCCTCCTGCGCTTGCTCGTTTGGGTCAGTGTTCGGGAGGTAGGGGGCATTGTCGACCCATTGCGGCTGCTATGGCCATTAGGTTCGTCTCCATGCAGTTCTTGGTGTGTTTGCACTGCCGTTTTGGGTCTAGCATTGGTGACTCCTTGCCGTCTCCTTGACAAGGTCTGTGCCGCTTGCTCTCGTTTGGGTCGCCGCCCGGTCTGAGCTTTGGCGCGGTATTTGGCTGAGCTCCCGGATCGACTTTGCCGTCAACCTGGGCTTCCTTGCACTTTGGACCTGCCTCTTCCTGGGCCTCTCCTGCTCTTCGGCTTCCCGCTGTCTGGCTCCTCTTGTTTCCTTCTCTGTTTGCCCGGGCGATGGGCTCATCTGTTCCGCATGGCCCTGGTCGTCGTTGTGCGCCTGGTCCGTTCCGGGGTCGAGCGGTGTCCGGGGTCGAGCGGTTGCCTGAGCGCCACCCTGAGAGACACCAGGGTCTGCGGTGTCTCGACGTGTCCAATCTGGCCGTAGATCTGGGCTACGCGGGCCGCTTGCTGCTGCACTCGTCTCGTCGGCAGGGCATTGAGGATGGCGTCCAGGATCGCGTTCCGGTTAGGTGGGGCAAGGTCTGGCCACGCATCCTGCAGAGAAGCTGCGTGCGGCCCGAGAGCGTGCTTGCATTCTCTGTTTCTTGGGTCCAGTTTGTCCCGTCTACCCGGACGGGGGCCATAGTGCTCCAGGCTCCCTGTAGTGTCATCTGCTGCTTTTTGCCTTCTCCTGGCGCAAACGTTCTTCTGCTGCTTCTCAGCGTCCCCAGAGCTTTCCGGGCAGCTGCTCCTCCACGGCCCTCAGCTGCCATCTTCAATACCTCTTCGACTATTCCAATGTCCGCTGTATCGGACCAGCTGCGAAGGAGTTGATCCAGGACAGGGTTTCGCCCCGGCTCCGCCTCAGTCTGCAGTTGCCTGGCTGGAGGGATCCGGGTGAGTGCGCCCGGGTATTCCCAACACGGCGGCAATCGCCTCCGGGACGTGCTGCCTGGGCGTGGACCACAGCCATCGCAAGATTGCTGGTCTAAGCTCTCCAATGGACACTGAGGTCATCATCGTCCTCTCCTTCTCCATCACAACCACACATCGCAGGCGCTTCGACGAAGGCTAGAACTGTCAGCGAGGGTTCCGCACTTATTTGGAACTCGAGCAGCGTCTTCACGGCCAGGGCGAGTCGTGTTTTTTCGGTCCGTGTGAGGGACCTCCAGGCTTCTTCTTTTGCTGTAGGTCGTTCCGCCTTGAGCTGGCGGCTTGTCTGCATGAGTGCGGCTTCTTCGTGACGCGGGTCTATTTCAGCATCATCTTCCAGCAGCACCTCTTCTTCTTCTGCCTCTGCTCCTTCCTCTTCCCGTGGTCGCTTGACGCCAGTCCTTACCTGCCGGCTCTGCATGACACGCTCGATCTCCTCTGTGACCGCTTCCTGGATCCCGTGAAGGAGGCTCGGTAGGGCCACGCTAGCCTTCTGATTCTGCACAGCAGCCTTGCCGCCAGGCTGATTCGTGCCGGCATGGCGTTGTTCGGGTCTGCCAACGCCCTGGCTGTATCCTCTCTCGTCGCTTCCTCATCTTGGACCTCCAGGAGCCCTGCCCACAACAGGCGGCATTCTTGTTGTGTTGGCGTGGGCGGAAGGTTTTCCAAGCGCTCCACGTCCTCTTCAGTGAGGAATGAGGCCTCTTGCTGCTGCGCACCGTCCTCGGCCGGTTCCGTTTCTTCCTCTCGTCCTTCTTCCACCGGTCGGGCCACGCCATCTCGGCTGCTTGTGGGGAACGATCTGGCGCCGTGAGTCACTCTTGTCGGCATAGTGCTCGCGCCAGCAGCCGGGGTTGCCCATCTCCGCGCCACCCTCCATGGCGCGGACTCCATGAAGGTCACGTGGTCCAGCTCTTCCTCGTCCTGGTAGCCGGCAGCCCCCTGCCATCCCATAACTTGGCTTCGCGCCCATCCGCTCATCAAGAGCAGGGTCCACACTGCGCACTGCATAGCCATGGCCCGCACAACCCTTGGTTGACGCCGGTTCTGGCAGTGAAGTGGCTAGTCGGGACCTGGCAAGTGTGTAGGCTGACTCAGCTGACTGGCTTCTTCTAGATTGCCATTACATGCACATCGCGCTCAGGGTAGTGTCTGTCGGAGTTGCTGCTACGGGCTTGATTGCTATGGTCGAGTCTTCACCGCAGATGGAAGTGCAACGATGCAGGACGTGGTACTTGACAATCAGGACCTGGTGTTCTCTGAAGTCATGGCTGCCGGGTGCACTGGAATCATCACACGCTTCAGGCACACTTCAGGCTTCCTCATGTAATCATCCACATGCAGCATGACACGTCATCTCCTTCTCTTCTTCTTCTGGATTTGCAAAGTGCGTTGGTTCCTCGGTTGCTGTGGGCTTCATGCCTGGTGTGGCTGTTCGCGGCGGGTCGGCTGTGTAAAGTCCCGTCTGTGGCGGCGGATCGGAAAGGTCGGTGATGTTTAGGTGTGCGAGAAAACGTCCCTTTGGGTTACTGGCTTTATTCCTCTGCTGGCGCAAGGCATGCCTGGCCGGGCGCGGTAGAACGTTTATTGCGCTGCTATGGGGGCTGTCAGGCTTGGGCGCCTTCATTCGCTACCCCACGGCTGCCCAGGTCCCGTTCTTGTCGTTGCCCGTCCCTAGTTGGGCGCCAAGTTCTCAATGGACGGTTGTTTGCCACTGCTCCACGGGGGGTCAAAGCGTCTCGCAAATTCCGCCTCCAGGCTTTTCCACCTGGTTCTGTCCAGCGCTTCCTTTCGCCACGGCTTGGCAATCTTCTCCACCATTTTCTCCATCTCCATCATGGCATTGAACCGGTGCGGGCGTCGTAGGCCATCTGCTTTTCCTTGTTCTACTCGCCACCATTCCTGATTGCGCCACGCGAGCATCAACCCGGTATGCTGTTGTCAATGCCATGGTGGACCATCTATGCGCAGGTCTTTTTGCAAGGCACACCCTTGCCTGCCGCAGGGATCTTTGGTTCCACTGTGCCCACTGTTCTAGCGGCTTGCGCTTGATAGCAAGGACCTGTCGCAGCTGCATAAGTTGTATACTGTTAAGTCCCTTCAACAGGGCATCGTGGGGATGCGCTGCTCCAATAGCCCACAGGGCTGAGGTGGACACATATCTGGTGTGTGCGAGAAGCTTGTGATCGAGGCTGCCTGCTCCGGTGAGGAGTTTTTTGCGAGTGGCGAACGCCCCGCGCGCTCTTCTGGCCACCTCCGCTAGTACTTGCACAACTTCTCCCGCTAATGCAACTGGTGCACCCAAGACCGTCACGGTCCCATCCTTGTCCCCCGTTACCTCCTTTTCCCCTACCTTAACTGTTTGTTTTCCTTCCACCGTATGGACGTACTTGGTTTTGGTAGCATTGACTCTGAGATTCCTTTCTCCCAGGCTTCTGACCATGACGTTGAGCTTGTGCTGCAGGAAGCCTCTGTCATGGCTCCAGAGGTAGATGTCGTCCTGGAACCCTCCTCCGTTAGTGGGCATGGGGGCCCTTTGTCAGGAGCTTTGTCTCTACGAGGGTCGCCTCCCGCCTCCGTTCCATTTGTTGCGGTTTCATCGGGCCGGGGGAGGGTGGGGTTAGCAGACCGGGCCGGGGGGCTGAGCACCTCGTTGAGGACTTGACGAATCATAGCCGCGAAGAGCACCGGAGAGTCCGGTGCTCCCTGACGGACACCGTTGGATTGCTCGACTTGTTGGACCTCATTGTCCAGGGCCACGTTGATGGAGCTACTTGCCAACATGTCAATCCAGAGACGTGCTTCCCACGGTCTCGCTCCATGGACCCCCACTTTCTGCTCAACCATGGATGCTAGCTGCACCTGCGATACTGTGTCGAACGCCTTCGATACGTCAATCTTTATCAGGCGCAGTGGCAGCGCCCACTCACGGCATGTGCGCACAGCTTTGCGAAGGCACAAGATAAGCTCCGCCGGCTGCATTCCCGGCTGTGCATATTGCCAGGGCGATCCACTTAGGACATGTTCCGCAGCCCTGCCCAAAACGAGTTGGGACTGCCATTTGAGGAAGCTGGTGGACAGGGTGATGGGTCTGGTTGCACTCCACTCTTTGGGCTGGGGTTCTTTTGGAAGCAACACTGTAACGGATTCCTTAACTGCCTCAGGCAGTCTGCCTCTGTAGAGGGCGTCGTTGAATTCTGCCAAGAGTGTATGCTGCCAGTACCGGTCCTGGTTCATAGTAGCTCTCAGCGCCTCGAGCGCCACTCTGCCAGCCCTCCTCTGCCGTGAGCGCCCCCGCCCACAACTTAGGCTTTCTTGCTCGCTTGACTGCCTGCAGCGCATGCCAGTTGTTCCTGAGGGCTTCTTGTAGCAATTCTCTTTCCCACTCGGCCTTGCGCGCCTTCTTCTTCTTCCACAGTTGCTTCCACAGATTTCTCGCTTCCGGGGTATGTTTGAGCTGCATAGCCCTTTTCCTTATCTGCTTGATCTCCTTACTCTCGACATACTTAAAGGGGTTTCGCTTGGGCTCCGTGATGTGTTGAGCGGCCTGTTGTAGGTTCTTGAGGTTGTCTCCTTTCCACTGTCGGCCTTCCTGCATCACTTGTCTAACTGCCTCTTCCCTTTTGAGTTGTCTGGCTCCATGAAGCTTCCTCGGTTGAAACATCTGTCCCGACACCCCCTGCTGCGGGACTGTGGTGCCTGCAGTAACCGCATCATGGTCGCTGGAGACCAGGTGTCGGAGGCCATGCACTCTACCCGGCGAGCCCTCCTCAATCCCCGCCAGGAAGATGTAGTCTAGGCGTCTGGGTTGGTGCAGGCGGTTGTAGGGGTAGTAGGTGGGGGTGTCAATCTGTTGCTCCGGCGCTCGCATATCTTGCGACTCTGCCTGAGCGCATGCGTGCGCTCCCACAACGCCATATACGTCCCCGTCTCTGGCACCGTGGCCTTTGGGGGGAGGTGCACGTTAAGGATCCCAAGCTTGCCGGCACCCGTACTAATAGTCACTCCAAGCGCACGCGCACCGACCTCCTTCTGCACGATTTTCCCGAGAGTCGCCCTGACGGCGATCATTCTTCCTCTCCACTCCTCTTTTCTCTTTCCCGCCACTATACGCCACCGATCTTCCCCTCGACCGTGGATCAGCTCTGTGATACCCTCCGGACAGGAAATCTCCTGGAGCGCCACTATTTCTGCTGCCCCTATGCCTAAGTCGAGTCTTTCCATGGGCATCCCTCCAACATTCCATGTGAGGATCTGCACGTCTCTCCTGATCCGGGTGTGCCTGGTCGCCCCGAAAAGAAGGATCGGCTACGGCGTCTCGCCTTATGCCTCTGCGCGCGTTGCCCTCTTCCATGAATTCGATTGCTATCACGCATGGGTCAGCTGCTTGTTCGGGTCGTCAGTCAATGGTCCCCACAAGGTCCTTCCACCTCGTCTCGGCCTTCTCCTTGGTCTCGCCTGTAGCGCCGGCTATGGCCGCAACGTCAAGCCAGCCGTACGAGGAGGTGGCAGCTCCGAGGCCATCAGGCGGCTTGCCCAGCCCCGCGACCTTGCGGTCATCAAGCCAGAGGCTTCCACTTTTGTAGTCCGCACGGATCACCAAGGACCTGGAGTTCTTGTCTGCCCCTTCCAACACCGCCCTCTTACTCTTCGACATCTGTCGAGTACGCCTCCTCTGCTCGGGAGATTCACTAATGGCTAACCACAGCTGGGATGGTTTCCCGGCCTTGGTTGTCCCTCCAGCGGGGAGCGCCGCTTCCGCACAAGTTCCACCGAGGAAATGGCTGTGCGTTGCAGTTTGGCCCGGTCTTCTCCCAATCTGGCCGTCATAGGGACAATGAGGAACCCTCGATTCTTCCCTGGCATAAACGCCTCGGCGATGTCAAGCGCAAGGTCCGCGACCGCTTTCTTCGCCTTGTCCAGGACCCCCGCCTCGTCCAAGTCCAGGCTCCAACCACCGAAGACCAGAGCCGGGGTTCTAGGGCCCCCATCCTCTTCCCCGTCAAAGCGGGCCGGCTTCCAGGCCCTGCGCTGCATCTGGTTGTCCTCCAGCAGGTCTATGCGCTTTAACACGTCCTGGATGGTGAGGTCGCGGGTCTGTTCCCTGGCAGCATAATCCCGCAGGGAGTCCTGCACTTTTTGTATTTTGTCTCCCTGTTCCCGTTGTCGTTGATCAAGAATTTGCACAATGTCTAGGGTTTTATCGACCTTTGCAGCCATCTGTGATTCAAGGTCGGTCATGCGCTGTCTCATCTGGGTCACTCCCTCGGTTAGCGGCGCCAGCGCCGCAGTGAGTTGGGCGAGACTGATGCCCGCAGAACCCTCAGCTGCTGCAGGTGCAGGTGCTGGCACTGTTTGCATGTCCCATCGCGTGCGTTTTGACGGGCTGTCGATGTTGGCAGCAACTGTTGGTCGATTGAGGAGGTCCTCTCCGTCGACTTCGATCGCCGTTGCCGCTGCCCTCCGCAGTGCTTCCATGCCATCAGTCTCACGTTCTGCCATATGCTGCTCTGAAGTCACGGCCACCGATGCGCAGCAATCTGGTACTCGTGGGCGTACAGGGACTTCGGCGGGAACACGCAAAGTACACCGCAAAAGCACGCCCAGGGAACCCTCAGTGCACCGGCTCAGCACGAGCAGTTATTCTCACGGGGGCGGTGCCTCGACCTTTTGTTACAGGAACCCGGTCCTTGTCTGGGAAACAGCTGCCCGGGATGCTCAAGCCCCCCCCCTTCCAGCCGCGTCCACCCGCCCCCCCGGCAGAGGCAACTCTCTGCCGGGGTTGCGGGCCGCGCCGGAAGACCTCCCCCAGGCAGGCTGAGAGAGGCGGCAGGAGTCTTGAGCCAAAATGTCTCTCTCTCTCTGCGTTTGGGATGCTACAAAATACTGGCACGAGTAGTGCTTGCATGTACCGCCGCCATGTCTTACTGCAGAACAATCGAAAGCATAAGGTAAGCGTAAAGTCGTTGGTGTGGCTGTCAGTTCGCGGTGAGGTCGTGGGTGTGGCTGCTGCTTCTGCTACTGTACTTCTGCTGCCGAATAATAATCTAATGAAATTGTGACACCCCAGGGGCCCCTCATATCAACAAATCATAACTCATACTTTGGGGCCGCAATGGTCCCTCTTGTATAAAAAAGTATCCCCCGGCCCCCCAATCCAAATTCAAGGACCGAAGAACTCCACATGTGTTGTTTAACCAGAATCTAAGAAAAATTATATGACACTGCCGTCGCCCGGCAAAATAGAGAAGAACAAGAAGACGAGGCGATAACTGGGGAAATGATTCGCTGAAAAGTCTTGGGGGGGCACCCCTTGCGATTTGACATTGGGGGACTTGATTATCTGAAAAATCTTAGGAAACACCCCTTGCGACTTGAGATTTGGGGACTTGATTCTCTGGAAAAAATCTTAGGGGGACACCCCTTGCGATTTGAGATTTGGGGACTTCAGTCTCTGAAAAATCGTAGGAGACACCCCTTGCGACTTGAGATTTGGGGACTTGATTCTCTGGAAAGAATCTTAGGGGGACACCCCTTGCGATTTGAGTTTTGGGGACTTGATTATCTGAAAAATCATAGGGGGACTTTGGGGACTTGATTCTCTGGAAAGAATCTTGGGGGGACACCCCTTGCGATTTGAGATTTGGGGACTTCAGTCTCTGAAAAATCTTAGGAGGCACCACTTGCGATTTGAGGACTTGATTCTCTGGAAAGAATCTTAGGGGGACACCCCTTGCGATTTGAGATTTGGGGACTTCAGTCTCTGAAAAATCTTAAGAACCCCTTGCGATTTGAGATTTGGGGACTTGATTCTCTGGAAAGAATCTGCAAGTGGAGAATTCGAAGGCCAAAGGGCAACCAGTCTAACCGCAAAAGCGCAGAATTTCAAGGCCAAGGGTCTAACCGCAAAAGCGCAGAATTTCAAGGCCAAGGGGCAAACAGTCTAACCGCAAAAGCGGAGAATTTCAAGGCCAAGGGGCAAACAGTCTAACCGCAAAAGCGGAGAATTTCAAGGCCAAGGGGCAAACAGTCTAACCGCAAAAGCCGAGAATTTGAAGGCCAAGGGGCAAACAGTCTAACCGCAAAAGCGGAGAATCTGAAGGGTAAGGGGCATACAGTCTAACCTCAAAAGCGGAGAGTTTCAAGGGCAAGGGGCCGAAAGCATGTATGTGTATGTAGGTATGTATGTATGCATATGTATGTATGTACGTATGTATATTCATACATATGTAATGAAAAATCGGCCGCATGCTGAGGATGCTCCGCACGGGAGCGCAAATTTGGATTAAACATCGATGTTTTTGAAGGATGCTCCGCACGGGAGCGCGATGTTCTTCAACTTTTTCAGGATGCTCCGCATGGGAGCGCGATTTTCTTCAAAATTTTCAAGATGCTGGGAGCGCGATTTTCCCCAAAATTTTCAGTGTGCTCCGCACGGGAGCGCGATGTTCTTCAATTGTTTCAGGATGCTCCGCACAGGAGCGCGATTTTTTTCAAAATTTTCAGTCCGCATGGGAGCGCGATTTTCTTCAAAACAAGACGACCTTGAGTGGAGCATTTTTGGTATAGAATTGGGATATGATCCATCCCGTAAACGGTCTAATTTTGAACGACGATGCCGACGAATCCTGTACCAATCCTATACCGGAAAGCTCCGCCAAATACCTCCCTCTTTAGCCAAGAGAGCCACCTCGAACGACGTTCATCTGGTATTGGATTGGTATAGAAACCTTCGACATCATTGTTTATAGATGATCAAAATTTTCTGAATGCTCCGCATGGGAGTGCAATTTGGATCGATGTTGATAAAGATAAGTCGACGAAGTTTCGAGGATGTCTCGAGCGGGAGCGCGATTTTGAAGATACAAAGATGATCAAAACGACATCGAATCCTATACCAATCCTATACCGGAAAGCTCCGCCAAATACCTCCCTCTTAAGCCAAGAGAGCCGCCTCGAACGACGTTCATTTGGTATAGGATTGGTATAGAAACCTTCGACATCATCGTTCATACATGATCGCAATTTTGACCGATTTTGATGAAGATAAACCGACGAGATTTGGAGGATGTCTCGTGCGAGAGCGCGATTCTTGAAGATACGAACATGATCAAAACGTTAAAGACATCGCGGGAGCGCCATTGTTGAATGTTTATAAAGGCGAAATTTTGAGGATGTCTTGCGCGGGAGCACGATTTTCAAAAATCACGAGCGCGACCGGTTCGGTATCGACCCCCCCTACCAAGAGGACTTTAAAGGCGAGGGCTCGTATGTTTTTGATCGAAAACCGATAAAAAAACTCCGATTTGTTCAGGATGTCTCGAGCGAGAGCGCAATTTTTGGGCGAACATGAGCGCGTCCCAAATGTTTGCGCAACGGAAGAGCACGCGGGCGTCGGCGGGCTACAGCATAAAAGATTAGAACTCCACAGTGAATGTGAGAAAAACATACTGAAATCATCATCCCGAAACTATGGACCCCCAGAGGTTCCTTATATCAGAAATGTTATGCATGAGGGGGGGTTGCAACCCCAACAGCAAAACAGACATACTCACCACAACAAGACATTTGCCCACCACGGCGAGCAACATTCCAGAGCAACACAGCACGCAGCTGTTCCCCCTACTCGAAGTACATGGCTTGAGAATACGCATTTTGGGCCTTTCTCGTGCCCAAATCGCTTGGGAATACCTATGTTGGGACTTGCAAGGGCCAGCTGCTCCTTCCATCAAAACCCGCTTGGCACTATGCCCCATCAGAGCCCAGATCGCTTGAGAGACGCATTGTAAGACCAAGGGCCCAACATCTCCAAAATGTTTGCTCCCAGCTGCTCCCCCCCGTCAGGGCCCACATCACTTGAGCTCCCAAGATGCGACTTTCAAGGATCCCAAATCCCAAAATGTGTGCTGCTGCTACTACTACTACTACTACTACTGCGGCCAATATTGCTATTATTTTCTTTTCTCCAAATACGGCTGCTGCTGCTGCCGCTCCTCCTACTCCTCCTCATACTCCTCCCCCTACTATTTACTATTGCTACTGCTACTGCTACTGCTGCTACTGCTGCTGCTGCTGCTACTGCTGCTGCTGCTGCTACTGCTACAATTTTATTATTACTACTACTACTACTACTACTACTCCTGCTGCTGCTGCTGCTGCTGCTGCTGCTGCTGACTACTACTATTACTACCACCACTACTTCGAGGAGGTCTGATTTAACAGTTTTGGCCCCGCCAGTCCAGGGTGGGCGCCACCAGTCCAACGTGCGCCCAGGCGATCTGGTGGGATTTTGGGGTCTTGCTCGTCGAAAACTCGTACTCGCAAGCGATTTGGGCTCTGATGGAAGGAGCAGCTGGGGTAGTAATCGCAGTGGTGGTGGTAATGTAGTAGTAGCTATTGGTGTTGTAGGTGGCAGTGATAGTTTAGCAGTAGCAGTAGTTGTAGAAGTTGCAGACGTAGCACCCCTAGGCATGTCAATTAACGGTGGCATTTCTGGAAGCTATCGTGCTCATGCGTTTACAAAATGGTTGTGTCATACATGCTGCGTCAGGGAATGTTGCAGTTTGCAGTCTTCCGCGTTCAGCTGTAGAAATATCACACTTGGGGGATCAACTACTGCTGCTTCTGAATTTAGATGGCGGGAGTCTAGGGAGAAGGTCCAGTATGGAGGTTGTTACCGTTTGGTCGTGGATGCTTTGGTCACAGCATGCTCTCGGGAATGGACAAAGATATGACTTGGACATGGAGGCTTTGATCCCCATAAATACTGTTGGGGGTGGATGTTCCCCCTAAGTCAACTAAATGCTGCATGAAAAATTCGTATAGCGATTTACGGACTTTCGGAAAAACCCAGAAATGTCCGCATGTCGTTGGTTGCCTGCTTCCTCAAACATCCAAAGATCAAAAAAACACCTAAATTTTCGGAAAAAAATAAATATATATATATATACATATATATATCGTATTTGCGCCAAATTTTGCTGATGTTTGCAAAATTGGTAGATTTTGGCAGAAACCGGTTGATGTTTTAAAACATCGGTGGATGTTCGCAAAAAATCGCAAAAAACTGTAGCTTTTCGCAGGAACAGTTAATTTCCCAGATGCTATTCCTCGAGCCAAATTTTCGAATTTGCGGGATCACGGCCCGCGATCCAATTCAAAAGCCCCAGGCCGAATCGCGTGAGAATTGCGCATCATTTCGCTGCCACATGCTGTTGTGACGTAGATGCTCCTGTCACCGAACGCTCACGGGCGGAAAGTCTTGGCACAGATTCTGGACCGGTTTCCGATACAGCACAAATGCGAAAGAAAACATGCAAATACGCAAGCTGTGGAATCATTGATCCCTCTTATTGTGGTAAGTTTGTACAAGTTTTCCGCAAGCCAAAGATGCAATGAGAACCACGGAAAATTTGCTTTGCAAATTCTGTGGAATATTAGGTATCCTCCTATAGTTTGCTTCTTCCTGCTTTGGGCTCGTAAATCATAATCCCAAAATTCTT